AAGCTCAGCGCCGCAGGTTCACGTCGTGGCAGCTTCGGCGCTGGTCTCTGACACCGCGTGGATCGTTCCGCCTTGCACGGTCGGCGGCTTCTCCTGGGTCACCCGACTTCGCGCATCGCGCCCCGCGCTGCAGCGCGACACGCGACCACCTTCGCGCCCTCGCGAGGACACCTTGGAGAAGGGCATCTCTCTGCCGAAGGCCGAGACGCGCGAAGCGCCGTTCTCTTCGCGCCCCAGGGGGTGGCCCTGCAGTGGGGGCCCGACCACAAGAAACCTTCCACAAGAAACCCAACCCTGAGACCCGAGGACGTCCATGGATTCTTGGTGCGGGAGCGTCGCGCTTCTCCATAGCAAAAACCACATCGAAACCCAAGAAACCCAGGGCACCCTGGAGGCAAGCAGGGTGTTTCTTAGCATGGGTCTCCACTGTATCTTTTCGATCGCGATGGCGTTCCATTCTTCGGGGACCTGCTGACCCGGGTCAATCTAGACCCGAGTCAGTCAGGCCTTGCAGGATCCTGCAAGACCCTGCGAGATCCTGCACCCGAACCCGGGTCAATGCGAAGGATCCTGCAAGATCCTGCAGGATCCTGCACCCAAACCTGGGCCAATGCGACCCTGGCCCTGCAGGATCCTGCAAGATCGGGCGCTCTGGCTGACCCCCGCTTGCACTGACCCCCGTCTCAGGCCAACGGTACAGCACGACCGCATGAGATCATCATCTTAGCACCACCGTGGATGCTCTCGGCCAGTCGTCTCGATGCGCGGGTCTCCGGGGGTCTGGCCACGCCAGAAGGGCGTATGCCTGCCGCCCCCCTGGAAGCCCCTCGCGAGGTCTTCGCGAAGGCCTCTGGAGGTCCCCCCGAGGCCCCCAGAGAGGGCTGACCCCCGCCTGCATGGACCCCCGTCTCGAGGCTCCCGAATGCTGGCCGACTCTGGACCACCGGCCGCGCTCCGCCTCCAACTGACTACCTACCAGACCACCCCAACCCAACCCGAAGACTCGAATTTCGGGTTGGGGGGGGTACGGGTTCCATATGTGTTTTCTCGAAGTCCCCCGACCCCCCCCCCACTGGAAATGGAGGTCAATTTGACGCCTTCGGGTTGGGTTGGGATGGTTTGGTGGGTGGTGACCAACGCCCGCGCCCTTCGCGCGGGGCGTCGCCGCCGCACGCGCCGGTCGCAGCCGGGAGGTGCTGCCGAGATGCCGCCAGACGTGCCGCCGGCAGCGCTGCCCGTGCGGGTGCTCGAGCAGAGCGCGCCCGCAGCAGGAAAGAGGCGCTGCGCGTGCCTGCCTCCTGGCGGGCGGGCTCGAAGGATTGCAAAAAAACCCAGGATTGCAAAAAAAAAAAAAACCTTCGTTTTTTTGCAATCCATCGTTTTTTTTGCAATCCTTCGTTCAAGGGTTTTTTTTGCAATCCTTCGTTCAGGGTTTTTTTGCAATCCTTCGCGCAGCTCCGGAAGTCGCTCGGGGCCCCGTGGGGCTCGCGCGTGGCAGCCGGCCTGCCAGGAGGCCCCGAGGAGCTCCGGGAGGGCGGGAGGGCGGTGGGCTCCTGCGGCCACGCCTCCGGCCACGGAGAGCCGTCCCGCGCGCCACGGACCTCGGAGCGAAGGATTGCAAAAAAACGAAGGATTTCAAAAAAAAAAAAAAAAAAAAAAAACTTCTTGCGATCCTTCGAACGAGGGTTTTCTTGCAACGTTCGAAGGATTGCAACGTTCGAAGGATTGCAATCCTTCGAACGAGGGTTTTTTTGCAATCCCCCTCTCTTCCAGGCGCAGCGGCTGGAGGCGATCCCCGGTGCTCTCCGACTCTCCCTGGAACCGTCTGGAAGCTATCTCGATGTGCAGGATCCGGCTCTGTTTGTCCATCTGACGGAAGATGCCATCCTGACGGCCTCGATGCTCCACACCCTCCCGAGCAACTTGTGAATCATACGAGATTCAGCCCTGGTCGCAAGAACCAGCTTACGCCGAAAGTCCGCAGAGAAAGAGGAACACTCCATCCTCTCTACGGAGAAGCTTGCCCATCCCCCTACCTCAAGCCGCAGCACGTCCCCCCTCGACTGGGCTGGAGATCGCTGCCAAGGCTGGCGTGACAGCCGCCCCTGCCAAATCTCGCGAAGATAAAGAAGAACCACATATATAAAATCCTTGTTGGGCCGAGCCTGAGGGTGCTGAGGGCAGTCGGCTGCAGCTGCGCGACCCAAATCTCCAAGAGCAAAGCTGGCCATTCCCGCCCTGGTTTCCCCAAACCGTGCTTGCACTTGCCTAGGGGCTCTTCCTTGTCCCCGAAGGAGCTGGGCCTGTTTGTCGGTCTGGCGGCTATGTCGCCGCCGTCGGCGCCCCGTCGTCGCCTCGACGCCGTCCGTCATCTGAGCCTGTCTGTCGGTCGCCGCGCTTGTTGCCGCCGTGGCAGCCCCGTCACCGCCCAGCATAGATTACACCACACAGATTGCACAGCATGGATTTCGCCACATAGCTTGCACCACATACATTGCGCACCACGTAGATCGCACAACAGATGCTGCAGCACATAGATTGCACACCACCTAGATCGCACACAACATTGATTGCACCACGTAGGTTGCACAACACAGATTGCACGCCATATACTACAACCAAGATGTCACCACACATATTGCACGACATACAATGCTGTACCTATACTGCACAACATACATGATACCTCATGGGTCGCACCACCTAGATTGCACAACATAGACTGCACAACCTGGATTGCACTACACATACCGCTCCAAATCGATTGCACAGCATGCATTGCACCACAGATTTTGCAACGGAAAGACTCCAGTACAAAGTCGCATAACCTAGATTGCACAACATGGATTGCAGCATATCCATTTCTTCACACAGATTCTCCTTTCCAGAAAGAGAATAGACTCTACCCCCCCCCGGCGTTATCGCCCCCCTTTTGGGCATGTAAATCACAAATGATTATGACCACACGTCCATTCAAAATATGAAATCACAATGTCCCAGGCCATACGGTATCGGCCCCCCTGAGGTCCCCTTGTAAAAATACTATGCGGTGACATTTTTTGTTCTAACATAACACTTGTTCACGAATCCCTTGAAACAACATGAGACGAAGTGCACACGCGCGCGTCGATGCCGGAATCCTTCAAAAACCGTCGGTGCCTGAAGGATTTTCGCAATCGAGTTTCCAAAAAACAAACGAAGACACAGGGTTTCGTAATACTGATTTGCTACAAAAAAAAGCTTACGCGCGAGCTCTTGCGACATCTTAAGAAAACCATGTGTTTTTCAAGATTTTCACAACATGCTACCAAACGGGCGTCGCGCGCGCGCATGTCGAAATCTGTCGAACGCCCTTGCGCGTGTGCCGTCGCGATAATCCTCTGCAAAAATGGGACGAAGTGCAGACGCGCGCGTCGTCGCGCGCGTACGCCGAAATCCTCCAAAACCCATCGGTTTCGGAAGGATTTCAAGATCGCGCGTCCAAAAAACCTACAAAAACACAAGGTTTCGCAACACAGAGTTTCAACAAAAGCGTGCGCGCGCGCTCTTGCGGCGTCGTCGTCGTCGTCGTCGTCGCCGTCCTCCCTCCTCCCGCGTCGTCGTCGTCGTCGTCGCCTACGTCGTCCTGTGTCTTTCCTCGTGTTCGTCGTCGTCGTCCTCTTTTGGTCGTTTCCGTCGTCGTTGTCGCCGTGGTCGTCCTTCCTCCTCCTCCCTCGTCGTCGTCGTCGTCGTCCGTCGTCGGCGTCTCGTCGTCGTCCCTCCTGTTTCGTCGCCGTTGTCGTCGCCGCCGTCGTCGTCGTCGTCGTCGTCGTCGTCTTCCCGCCTCCCTCGTCGTTATCGTCGTCGGCGTCGCCGTGCTTCCTCCTTCTTCGTCGTTCGCGTCGTCGCCGTCCTCCCTCCTCCCTCGTCGTTGTCGTCGTTGTCGTCGTTGTCGCCGTCGTCGTCCTCCCTCCTCCCTCGTCGTCGTCTTCGTTGTCGACGTCGTATTCGTCGTCTTCGTCGTCGTTGGCGTCGGCATCGTCGTCGTCTTCGTCGTCGTCGACGTCGGCGTCGTCGTCGTCGTCGTCGTCGCGTCGTTGACGTCGTCGTCGTCGTCGTCGGTGTCGTCGTGTCGTCGTCGGCGGCGTCGTTGACGTCGTCGTCGTCGGCGTCGTCGTCGTCGTCGTCGGCGTCGGTGTCGTCGTCGTCGTCGTCGTGTCGTCGTTGTCGTCGTCGTTGTCGGCGTCGTCGAAGTCGTTGGAGACGTCGTCGGTGTCGTCGTAGTCGTTGTCCGCGGCGTCGTCGTCGTCGTTGTCGCTGTCGTCGTCGGCGTCGCTGTCGTTGCCAAGTGCCATTTGGTACCCACCGTCACGGTCTTAAGAGATTTTGCAAACCAAGTTGCGGGTGGGTGGGTGGGATGTTTGCGCGAGCAGTGGAGTGGACAACTCACTGCGAACAGAAATTAATTGCACTACATAGATCGCACCACATGTGGTTCACAACATGCATTGCACGCAGTACATTGCGAACATATATGGCACCACCCAGGTTGAATCACATAGATTGCTCCACATCGATTGCACAACAGATATTGTGCCTCAGACCGCTGTACTACACTGTTCAGGTTGCACGCCTTAGATTGCACAACACAGGTTGCACCACCTAGATTGCTCCAGATACTTCTTGTCCCTGACCATATCACTAGAACACACACTATGTGGGGTCCACGCTGGCTGACACTTTCCAACATGCGAACTACATCTCGTCGTACTACAACTCAGAGATGAACTCTGGCCTCAACCTTGCATGCCACGACACATTGAACACTGGCAGCGCCTGTTGCTGCACTACGTCCTGCTCACACATGCAGATTGAACCACTGCAAGTGGGTACATCTGGCTCGAACTGTGTCTTGCCGAGTTCGTCTGGTACTGACATCGCCTGCTGCCACTGTCCATCATTCTCGCACGCGGGCACATGCGCAGGTACCAGCGTGATAGCTGATGACTTCAGGCTCCAGCCTAGCCTCCCACATCTTGCTGAGCAGCGCTGGCCCGCTGCCACTGCTCGCCCTCCTCACACGCGCTGATCCCAGCGTTGCAGCTGACCAGCGTGGACCCGTGGAACATCCACGGCCGGAAGGGCGAAGCCAGCGGCTCAGGCGAAGCTCTTGCCTGTTGGCCGTGGTGGGCGCTAGGAGGGAAGGACTCGGTCGAGAGCTGCTGCGGGAAGCTCTAGGGGGAGCCCGAAGAGGGGAAACGGGGGAGGGGCCCGAGGTGGTCGCACGAGCAGGCTGGAGCCTCCAGGGACCCAGACCCGCTGGTGCGTGCAGGGAAGAGCGGAGGGGAGCGCAAGCAGAAGGAAGGCGAGCAGAAGAAGGAGAAGGAGAGCGGCACCAGCGAGGGGGGGGGGGGGGGGAGGTTACCAGAGGTGGCGTTCGTGGAGGCCCCCTCTGCCACCGCTGACAGGCCGTAGGGAGGTCGAGACTTGCTGGCGGGTGCGGGGAGGAGAGCGGGAGCGAGCAGAAGGAGGAGAAGGAGACCAGCATCAGAGAAGGGGGGCGGAGGCTCCCGGAGGCAGAGGACGAGGGCAGGGAAGAGACGGGAGGGGAAGGACGGCGGGGAGAGAAGCTTTCTGCTGCCCTGCTTGAGCTGGGGTTTCCTTTCGAGCTGTCGTGGAGGTCCCCCTGTCGTCCCAAATCGGTCAGCCGCAGGGAGGGGTGAGGGGCAACGATAAGACGGGACTGGCATAGGGGGGGGGATGCCTCGATCTGGAACTGGCGATGCGTCGCCGATAGATCGGCGACAGGCCTCCGAGTGTGAATCCGCACCTTCCTGTGCAGGTTGGGGCTATCGGACCCCTATCCGCTGTCAGTGGGCGATTGGGGGTCGATGCATCCCCCCCGATGCCTATCCCCCCCCGATGCCTATCCCCCCCTTTCCCGGCCCCCGAGGGGGGGGGAGTAGGGGCGAAGTGCGAGGGTGAGAAGGAGCACGGCGGCAACAGAGAGGAAAAGGAGGAGGCACCCAGAGGAGGAGGAGGAGGAGGAGGAGGAGGAGGAGGAGGGGGAGGAGGAGGAGGCGAAGAAAAAAGTGAAACGGGGAGATGGGAATTCTGGGGCGCTGTTTGAGGTTCGGGGTCGTACTTGGCGCTTCGGGGGTCCAGGCGGCAGATGTGCTGGGGCTGATGGGAGCTCCGTGGCAACTATCGAAATCTCTTGGGGGCTGTAGGCCATCTAGGAGTGGTCTGGGGCCTCTGTGGGGTCTGTGGTCTTTGGGGCTTCTGAAACCAGAAACGGCGAAAAAGGTGCTGGGGCTGGAGGCTCTCGTGGGAGCTCCTTGGCAACTGTCGGAGTCTGTTGGGAGGCTGCAGAGCATCTGGGAGCGATCCTTCCTTGACAGCTCTTGAGGCCATGTTGGGGGTCTGGAGCCGTCTTGGAGCCCGCGTTGAGCGCTCTTGCGGCTGTCTTGGGGGGCCACTTCAGGCTCTGTTAGGCCGTCTGGGGCCTGTCTTGGGCCGTCTTCGGGCCTTATTGGGCCGCCTTGGTGCCTCTTCGGGGACTCTTGAGCCATCCTGGGGCGATCTTGGAAGGACCTGGAGCCGTGTGGGGCCGTTCGGGGCCCGCCATGGGGAGAATGCAAAAAAACATCAAAAAAAAATGTGTTCGCCTGACTTTGGGCCTGGCGTGGCACATCGGGGTCCTAGTGAGCCATGTGTGGAGCCTACTCCTGGCCAATCTTCGGGCCCTCCTTGGCCGCCATGGGTCTCGCTTCGGGTCCTCCCGGGCCGTCCTGCTGCCCCTCTTAAGGCCGCACAGCGCTGTCCGGGGTCCGTCGGAGGCCGTCTTGGGGCCATCGGGGGACCCTCTGGAGCCGTCGTGGACTGCCCCGAGGCGCGCCAAGATCTCGAGCTGCTCGCCCGTTTCGCACGCGCAGCGACCGGAATTGCAGTCCAGATGACGGTGGGCTCCAGCTTCGCCTCCCACGTCTCGCTCAGCAGCGCGCCAGCGCTCGATGCCACTGCTCGCCCTTCTCGCACGCGCTGATGCCAGCGTTGCAGCTGAGGCCCTTGACTGCGTCCAGTTTTTTGCGCGCGCGCGCACTGGCCGCACCCTCCCGCCGCAACAAAGCCTCGCACCTTGTCGGACAGTGGCTGCGCCCGCTTCTGGTGCCTGTCCTGCTCGCACACCCCACGCCTCTTCCTCGAGTCCATTAATCTACGGCGAGGTTCACGTCGAATCGCCACGAGTGAACCTTCCCGAGGACGGCCAGCACCTGGTCAAACTGGCCAGCCCCTCGCGCTTTTCCAGCCCACGAAGCAGTGAGCAGCGACATGACCAGCTTTCACTGCACGCCTCTATCTCACGAATGCTGATCTCAGCGCTGTAGCCGACCAGGGCGGATCCCCGCAATGCCATCCAAAGCAGCTTCCTGCGCGATAGAAGCCGCTGTCAACTTCACAATACGGATGCCCGTCCACATAATCAGTGGTTGCCCAGCTAGTTCTCACACGCACAGTGCGTCGAAAGACACGCGAAAACGCGAAAGACCAAGACCAATCCCAAGATAGCCTGGAAATCCTGCCGAGTTGCGAGACGACCTCTCATACGCTGTGACGCACACGCTGTAGCAGATGTCGTCCGTCTCCACACTGCGCTCCCGCATCTCGCCGAGCAGCGGCAGCGCATGCCGCCACTGGCCTCATTTCTCACACGCGCAGGTCGCAGCGATGTAGCTGACTACGGCGGACCCGTGGACTCACGTCGACGACAGCTGATTCGCACGCAGGGTTGAAATCGTTTGCCTGATGTCATGCTTGCGCGCTGCCCTGCGCGCCAAGGCTGCTAGCATGCTGACCAAGCAATTTCTACACCAAGTGCTTCTGTTTGCGTGCTGGCCAACGTTCCTGATCCCATTCCTGCCAGATTGCCTGCTTGATTTCTTGGTTGCGTTGTCGCTCGCTCTCTGCTTGCTCGGTGGCAACCACGAAGATCACGTGGGATGTCGGCCACCGCCTCGGCAGGGGTAGAGCGAGGGCGGGGCAGAGAAGAGGCCAGAATACTTAGCCGACCGCTTCGGCGGGTGGTCGGCGGAATGCGTTGGATGCGGGGTGCGAGAAAATCGAGGGTGAGCATGTCGAGCATGCGAGCATGCTTGGTGTGCGTTCACTGCGGGTGCGTGGATGTGTACTCGGGTCTCGGTGGAATGCTTCGGGAATGTCGGCGTGTTTGCTTGCGGTGCGACGTGGCATGCGGCTTGCGATCCCGTGCGTCGGGTCTGGTGTGTCGGACGTTGCGGTGGGGTTGGCTTTTATGATTGCTTGGTTGTTTCATCGCTTGCACTGCCGCTTGCTGCTTGACCTTGCCGATTTGCTCGAGACAAAAGCCCCCGACCTCTCGACCAATGCCCTGGGACCCATGTTTGATCCCGAGTCGTTTACTGGCAGTCCCGAAGCCTGGAGAGGGCCCCGAGAGGCCGAAAACTATGAAAAACCTCCGCCTCGATGTTTTCGGGACGCCGGATGTCTGGGAACTTGCTGGAGGCGTCTACCAGGACGAGCCACGGAGGCGAGACGACGTGCTCTGAGGCCATCTTGGCGCCCCCTGGAGCCTCTCGGAGCCGTCCAGTTGGCCATTCTTGGCTGCTCTTGGGGCTGTCTTGGGTGCGTCCTGGGCCGTCTCGGGCGCCTCTGGAGCCGTCCCAGGGCCGTGTGGGGCCCTTTGGGGGCCTCTGGGCGCGTCTTGGGGCGAGGTGGAGGGCCTGTATACCCGTTTGGGGGCCATCCTGGGGTGCTCTGGGGGCGTCTTGGGGCGATCGGGAAGGCCTGTACAGCCGTCGTGGACGCGGTGAAGACGAAAAGAGCGAGCATATCAAAAATGCACGTTTTCCGAAGCGAATGAAGCACTTTTTGCCTCTGGGGTCCCTCCTGAGGGTCCTGGCTTGGGGTCCTCTGGGGCCGGCTTGGGCGCCTCTTGGGCCATCTTGGGGCTCCCTGGGCCGTCTGGGGACGCGCAGCGCGGATCCAAGAAATCCGCGCGGAGCGCCATAAATTTTATGTTGTCCCCATCCTACTGAGGGACCACATCCCAGAAATAATATCGAGCACCCGGAAAAGTGTCAAAAGAATGTCGAAACAGTGTCGGGCGAGTGTCTCCCAGGGCCCGACACGTGAAAACCCTTGAGTTTCGGTACATTTTGAGGCGCTCGAAATTCTTCCTGGTGGTCAAGGCTAAAGTAGGTTGGAGCATCATAAGACTAGCGCTGACCCGTGGACTTACGTCCACGAAATCTGCACGTCGACACGGACTGGCATGTGATTGTGGATGTGCTGCCAGAAGGATAAAAACGACATCCAGGGGCTCGACCCTCACATCCCGAGCATGCTACTGCGCAGTGATGCTACTGCGCTGCTGCGTGTTGCTGTTGCTACTATTGAATACCCATTCCTAGAAGATGATTGTTGCTGATGTCCGGAAACGGTTCCACGCTCTCTGGCCTCGACACCGGCTGCAACTCCTCTGAAAACGAGGCTCCCGCTCGCGCGCGGGCTTGATTGTACATGCATGTCCCTGGAGGCCCTGCTACGACGACAACGGCTCCCGCTCAACGTCCTCACTGACCAGAGAGGCCCCCGAACTCAGGAGCGGCTCTCTCGCTCGACGTTTCCTCACAATTCAATCGAGTTGGCGGAAGCCCAGCCACGACGACAAGGGCCCCCGCTCGATACGTCCCCACGGTTTACTCCGAGAGCCCCTGACCAGGAAGGCCCCCAGACTCAGGAACAGAGAGGCCCAACTACGACGGCAAGGGCTCCCGCTCGATGATTCCTCACGATCTACTCTGAGAGGCCCTGACCAGAGAGGCCCCCGAACTCAAGAACGGCACTCTCGCTGGAGACTTCCGAACAAGTCAATCGAGTTGGGAGTTGGTGGAGGCCGAGCCACAATGACAAAGGCTCACGCGCGATGCTTACTCACGAATTACTCCGAGAGGCCATGGCTAGAGGTCCCCAGACTCAGGCACGGCGCTCTCGCTCGAGATGTCCTCGCACTTCAGTCAGTGGCCGACAAGGAAGATATTCCCCAAAAAGGGGGTACGATCGAAGGCGAAGTGGGCGGGTATCGAAGGTTGGGGTATAGAAAATGAAAGACACGCGGGCAAGTAAGAGCGAACACTCTTACAATGGCTGTTGGTGTTATTGTTGAACCTTAATTACTAAACAATTATTATTGTTGGACCCCCTATATTCGCCCTGGCGCTCTCGCCGAGGCGCCGGCCGCATTTCCTCTGAAATTGAGGCTCACGCTCAGGCGTTTTGGGGTTCCGCCAAAACCGGCCCCCCAACAACAACAACGCTCCGGCTCGAGACTTCCTCCTTTTTTACTCGGGCTCGGTGCTCTTGCTCGCCGCCGAGAGCGGCTCCCGGGCCGGACGCCCGGGTCGGCGCCCGAGCCGGCGCCCGGGCGCCGGAAAATCGAGTTCCGAGGCGGCGCCGAAAAAAGGCCATTCCAATACACATTTTTCTTTCGAAAATGCTGAATTTCTGCTTCCGGCGCCCGGGAGGGAGGCCGTCCGGGCCGATTCCGGAGCTCGGGCCGGCACCCGGCCCGGCTCCCGGGCCGGACGCCCGGGTCGGCGCCCGAGCCGGCGCCCGGGCGCCGGAAAATCGAGTTCCGAGGCGGCGCCGAAAAAAGGCCATTCCAATACACATTTTTCTTTCGAAAATGCTGAATTTCTGCTTCCGGCGCCCGGGAGGCCGTCCGGGCCGATTCCGGAGCTCGGGCCGGCACCCGGCCCGGCCGGCACCCGGCCCGGCTCCCGGGCCGGACGCCCGGGCAGTTCCGATCGCGCCGAAAAGAGGCCATTCCAATACACATTTTTCTTTCGAAAATGCTGAATTTCTGCTTGCGGCGCCCGGGAAGCCGTCCTGGGCCGATTCTGGAGCGGCTGTGGGCCGGACGCCCGAGCCGGCGCCCGTACGTGGTGCTTCTCTGCTTCTGGCGCCTGCGCAGCTTCCCGAGCCGCTTCTGGAACCATATCTGGGCCGGTCCAGCGATAGGTTTCCTGGATGTGCTGAACCATCCAACTTTTTGAGACTTCTGCGTCTCAAGGATAGGGAGAGAAGACATTAAAGGAGGATCAAAAAGCAACGTCGCTATGAACGCTTGGCTGCCACAAGCCAGTTCTACTTACTTGGACTACTACTACCGTTACCACTACTACTAGTGCTACAGCCGCAACAACAATATCATCAACTGCTGCTACTACAACTACTCATCCTTCCTCCCCCTCCTCCCCCTCCCTTCTCCTCCTCCCCCTCCCTATCTCTCTCATCTCCCCCTCCTCTTCCTCTTCCTCTCCCTCTGAGATGCGGGGCATGCGCAAGGCGATTGCGAAGGCGATGTGCCGTCCGAGCTATGGATGTTGAAGTTCCTCGGAAGAGGTGGTGGCCAAACCTTCTTGGGCGGGATATCTGGGTGAGGGAATATCGGATCCCGCATGCCAGAAAAATCCCCCATGATGGGGTGTGTTATCCAGATGGATGCATGTGTCATGTGGAAGCATGGCGCATGAGGGTAAAATGATTGTTGTTGTTGTTGTTGTTGTTGTTGTTGTTGTTGGTGGTGGTGGTGGTGGTGGTGGTGGTGGTGGTGGTAGTGATGGTGTTATTGCTGTTGTTGGTGGTGCTGTGTTTGTTGTTGTTAGTGTTTTTATGTTTGGTGTTGCTGCTGTTGTTGCTGGTTGTGGCTGTGGGGTGCTGCCAATGGTCAGTTCTGCGTGGTGCGCGGTGCTGCCCGCTGCCTGCTGCTGCTTGCTGCTACTGTGTGCCACCGCAGATGCTGCCTGCTTCGTGCTGCGTGCTGCTGCCGTTCGCTGCTGCTGCTGCTGCTGCTGCTGCTGCTGCTGCTGCTGCAGTTCCTGCGTGATGCCGCAAGGTTCCGCTTCTCGCTATTTCAGCATGCTGGCGCAACCCGGCGCCAGCAGAGGGGATCGAGGAGGCAGGATCGAGGAGATCGAGGAGGGAGCGGAGCGAAGCGAGGAGCGATCCAGTGAAGAGCGAGGAGCAGGAAGGGAGGAGCGATGGCCGAGGAGAGAGCGGCGAGGAGGAGGGAGCCCCGAGGCGGGAGCAAGCGGGAGAGGGGGCAGGGGCCTCGTGACGGGAGGCTAATCTCGGACAACCTCTCGGGGTGCATCTTGGGGGTCGCTTGGGGGGCTTTATCGGGCTGCCTTCTGGGGCTCTTTGGCTCCCATGGGGTCTCGTCGGAGCGCTGTTGACTCACCTTGTCCACCCCGGGTCACATCGGCCAGCATCATTGGGGTTGTCTTATGGGCCTCTTCGGGGCTTCTTTCGGGGCCCCTCCAAATTCCTGGAGCCACCTGGGCGGCCCTTTCGGGAGCGGCCAAGAGGGGGGTGTCCAAGAGGGGGGGGTCCTGGGTCGCCTTCGGCGGGCCTCCTGGGGCCTCCATGGGGTCCCCCCCGAACCTCCCTGGGGCTGTCTGGACGTCCCTGGGAGCCTCTTGGTTTAAGTCGGGCCTGTCCCCCTACAGGGGGATTTTCGACGAAAAATGTAAATACCCCCCCCAAAAAAAAATGCTCAAAAAATAATCCAAAAACAGTCTGGGGACTATTTTTTGAATAATCTTTTACCTTTTTGGGGTATGTTTGGGGTATTTTTATTTTTCGTCGAAAGTCCCCCTGTAGGGGGACACGCCCGACATTACTCTTGGTGCTGTTTGGGGGGCGGGGCGGTCGCGGGGGGCCTTGGGGCCATCTCGTAGAGTCTGTCTTGGGGCCGTGTCGAAGGCGTCTGGAACCACCTTGGGAACCACTTGGTCCGTCTTTGATTGATCTCGCGGACCTCTTGGGCCCTCTTGGGCGCCACGAGACCCGAAAAAACGAGAGTGCGAAAGCACTACAAAACCACAGGAATCTCAACATGTGCTGCTTGTGGAAGTTTTCTCGGGGGGGAACTCCTGGAGCCTTCGTGGGGCATCTTTGGGGCGTAGTGGCCCGTCCAGAGGCCCTCTTGGGCCGCCCTCTGGGGGCTCCCTCTGGCCGTCATATGGAGCTCCTCTGCTGGCCGCCTCCGAGCCCTCTTCGGCTGCCGGGAGCCTCTCATTAGACCGTCTCGGGGCCCCTCTCTTGAGCCGATCCAGAGGAACAAAAGCGATGCAAACATCAACTTAGGTCGGGCATGTCCTTCTACAGGCGGGCGCTGGACGAAAAATAAAAACTATTCAAAAAACATTCTCAAAAATAGCCACCCAAACAAAAAAAAACTCCCCTGACTATGTGTTGACTATTGTTGAGCATTCCTCCTGTAAGAGGGACATGTCCGACTTAACGATACAAACAAAAACTGTTGGAGCTCCGCGCGGGTTTCTTGGATCAGCGCTGTACCCCCCTCACTGGCACGCTCCGCGCGCCAAGGGACCAGCGCCGAGCCAAGAGATCCGCGAGGAGCTCCGACACTGTATGGTTAATTACGCTGTTCTTCTTGTGATTATTGCCATCGTCATTATAATAATTGCAAAAGTCGTTTTACTATTGTGTGCTGCTTACTCTTGTTACTATTACGATTCGTAACGTGATTCCCATTAGTAATATCATTATTCATAAGCTTCTTCTTACGATCATTCTTATTATTAGTATTATCACAACGATTATTATCATCATTATTACTCTTATGATTATTAGTATTATTATTATTATTAGTATTATTATGGTTAGTATTATTAGTATTATTAATATTATTATTATTAGTAGTATGATTATTATTATTACTACTACTATTATTATCATCATCATTCTTGGACCGTCTTGGGGCCCCTCTGGGGACCCCCTTGAGCCGAGTGGGAGCGCCCTGGGGTCGCTCGGGGACGCGCAGGGGCCTGCCTGCCAGATCCCCCCCCCCCCGGGGCAGCCCTGGGCCTCTCTCGCACGCGGGGGCTCCTGCGCGGGCTGCGGCAGGCTCGCGCCGTGCCGACCCCAGCGCTGGCTCCCGACACGGCGTGGCAACCTTGGAACGATCGGCCGCTCCTCCCCCACGAGGGAAACACCTACTCCTCCTCCTCCTCCTCCTCCTCCTCCTCCTCCTCCTCTCCTCCTCCTCCTCCTCCTCCTCCTCCTCCTCCTCCTCCTCCTCCTCCTCCTCCTCCTCCTCCAATCCCCACCCTCACCAGGGAAGCCTTGGCCCCGCTGGGCAGTCCGACGTCTCGGAAACACTTCCGAAGCGTCAGATCGATCAACATCGACCGATTCTGGGTCGCCGGCGGCGTTCAGCATTGAACGCCGGCGGCGGGGTGACCGCCGGTCGACACGACGCGAACCTACCGTAAGCGAGACGGAGTCGGGCTCCAGCCACGCCGCCCACATCTCGTTGATCAGCGCCAGAGCCCGCTGCCACTGCTTGCCTTTCTCGCACGAGCTGATCCCGGCGTTGTAGCTGACTCGGGCTGACCCGTGGTCTCCACTAGAGCCAGAAGGGGTCGCAGGATCGCGCCGCATCGCTGATGCATCGCCGATGCATCGCCAACGCATCGCTGGTACATCGACGAAATCGGCGGTGCATCGGCGATGTCGGCGTGATCCTCTGACCCCATATACTACGATCCCTTCTAGGAGGCCTCGAGCCCACTAAATTTAATCGATGTGGGTTTGGCTGTGACCTCGGGACTGCTGCCGACAAGTCCCCCTCTTGGGCCGCGCACGGGGCCCTCTTAGGGGCCAGATGTCGGCATCCTTGGGCCCTCTTTGACTGCTTCTTGGAGCCCCTTTGAGCATCCTGGGCGTCCTGGAGCTAAGTCACTCTTGTAAGCTACAAGGCCTTTCATCCCCGTTTTCGTTTTGCCGTTTTTGTTTCCGGCTCCAACGCCGTTTTTTGTTCCAGCTCCGCGGCCATGTGTTTTCCGGTTCAGGCTCCGTTTCAGATCCTGGAGCCGTTTTTTCCCTACCTAGGCTCTGCCCAGAAGGGTTCTTACTCTCTTAGCTTAAAGGGGCCAGGCAGTGCTACACGCCCCGGGCGGTTCCCCCGGTCCCCTGGGAGCGGTTCCCCCAGTCCCCTGGGAGCTCTAGCTTTAGCTTTAGCTTTAGCTTAGCTTCAGCTTAGCTTTAGCTTAGCTTTAGCTTAGCTTTAGCTTAGCGTTAGCTTAGCCTTAGCTTAGCTTTAACTTAGCTTTAGCTTAGCTTCAGCTCAGCTTCAGCTTAGCTTTAGCTTAACTTTAGCTTAGCTTTAGTTTAGCTTAGCTTTAGCTTTAGAGCTTAGCTTTAGCTTAGCTTTAGCTTAGCTTTAGCTTTAACTTTAGCTCAGCTTTAGCTTAGCTTCAGCTTAGCTTTAGCTTAGCTTTAGCTTAGCTTTAGCTTAGCTTTAGCTTTAGCTTTAGCTTAGCTTCAGCTTAGCTTCAGCTTAGCTGTAGCTTAGCTTTAGCTTTAGCTTAGCTTTACTGTTGCTACTCATGCTGCTTTCCTAGGGGCTCCAACTTCTATGTAGGGTCGCACTGGGATAATTGTTCTGTTTAGGCGACCGGATTTATATCCCCCTTTGATCTTCGATGTTAAGAGTTTTGAAAACTGTTAAAAACAATACTTTAAACAAAAAAACAAAAAAACAAAACAAAAAAAAAAAAAAAAAAAAAAAAAAAAAAAAATAATCACAAAATAAAAATAAAATGGCCCTGCCGTTTCTAAGAACCACGAATATCTGGGAAGTCCGGGGTGCATCTGGATAGATTTAGGAGGGAGTCCGGGGGCGCTCGGGAGGTGCATCGGGGCCATGCTGGGCAGTCCTGAGCCGCCAAAGCGCCGTCCTGGGGCCACCTTGGCGGAAGCCTTGGGCCCCTCTTGGGGCCGTCTGGAGCCGGCGTTCCCGTGGGGGCCGTCTGGGAGCCCCGTTGGGCGGATCTTGGGGTCCTCTTGGGGGCCTCTCGGGCCGTCTCGTCGGGCGATCTCAGGGGGGCTGGGGCCCTCGTGGGCGATCTGAGATCCGCTTTCTGGCAGAGGGCAGCCGCGAGGCCCCGATTGTCAATTGTGCTGTCACGAGTCTGTTGCTGCTTGCTGGAGGGGCCAGCCGGGGCGGACCCGCCCTGCGCCCCCAGACAAGCAGACGATAACGAGAGGAGCTGCCCGTGGCAATCACTGCCTCGGCGAGCGGTCGGGGAGGAGGAGAGTGGCCCACGAATCGGGGAGCAAGCCATGGCTCGGAAAATCGGCTAAGGCACCGAACATAGGCAGAACCAAAGAAGAAAGTCGAAGGGTGAATATTCGGGCGCGATACGATCCCGAGGCCCGGAAGAAATGAATATAGGCAGATGTACCGACAACCTATGGGAAAGCAATCTTTTGTTTCTGCTGAAGGCTGCCCTGGGGATTCTCTTGAAGCCGTCTTGGAGCGCACTGGAAGCCTCGTAGGCCGTCGGGAGGCAAGGCCATCTTGAGCCGCCTTGGCTCGTTCTTGGGCTTTCTTGAAAGCCTCTGGGGCCGTCTTGGAGCCCTCTTGGGCGGTGTGGTGAATCTCCTGGAACGTTTTGGGACTCTCTTGGGGCCCTCTCGGGCCGTCTTCGAGCGCCCCAAGGGCGCCCAGAAGCGCGGCGGGGCCTGCCGGGCCGACTTTGATCCACATGACTGTGCCACCTTTCTAGCACGCGGCACTCTTGGCAGTGTAGAAAAGCGGATGACGCTTGGCTTCAAAACCGACTCCTACATCTCTCTGAGCAGCGCCAGCGCCCGATGCCACTGCTCGCCCTTCTCGCACGCGCTCATCCCAGCGTTGTAGCTGACTAGGGCGAAGCCGTGGACTTCGTCCACGTCATCTTGGGCCAGTCTTGGCTCGAAAAGGCCGTCTTGGGCCTGTCTTCGCTCGAAATGGCGAGAAGGTGGAAATCTTTCAGAAACCATAGAAGAATCAATGATTTCGTTTGCCGCGGCTCGTCTGGAGCGTCTTCGAGCGGTCTTGGGCCGTCTCGGAGGCCCTCTTGGACCGCTTCCTTCTCTTCGTCCGCCTTCCGCTCTACCTCCGCCTAGACAGCCTTCGGAGCGTCACAGACGGCTATGGTGGGTCTGCGGTGTACGTCTCGCCGCTTGTCAATTTCGAAAGCACCTGGGGCCTTGAAAAAGTCACCCGGAGGGCTCTGGCGATTTTTGCTCGGGTTGCCTCTTCGAAGCCTGATGGCGGACGCTGCCGTCTCCTTGGGAACGGCTAGTGGGCCTCTCGGGGTTTCTTTTCGAGCTCCTGGGGGCCTGATGGGGCCTCGTTGGCTGTCTTGTGGCCTCTTAGGGGCCTCTTGGGGCCCTCTTGGGCCGTCTTGCGGCCTCCTGGGGGCCTTTTATCTTGAAGTTTTTTGGGGCGCCTCTGGGGCCGTTCCCGGGCAGTCCCCCCGAGCCTCTTCCGGGGGATAGCCCAGGAAATCTATTGAGCTTACCTGCTGTGCGTGCGTGCTCCTGTGTGAGAGGTCGGAAGGGTGTCCCGACGTCACCGCTCGCTCTTGGGAGCTGTGCCTGGGAGAGCTCTCTACGCTGCGTCTCGCTCTTGGGAGCCTTGGTGAGAAGAGCTTTGTACTTCACCGATCGCTCTTTTAGTGGGCGTCTCTGGGCCTTTTTCGGGCCATTCTGATACTTTTTGGGGCTGCTCTGGGAGCGTTTTGGGACGTTTTGGGGTCTTTTTGGGCCGTCACGTGGCGTCCGGGAGGCCTTGGACCGTCTTGAGGCTGGCTGAGGCCGTCTTGGGAGCCTCTTGGGGCCCCCTCGGAGCTCTCTTGGGGCCGTCTTGGGGTTCTGTGAGGCCGTTTCAGGGCTCTCTGGCGTCGTCTTGGGGCTCTTGTGGGCCGTCTTGGAGCCCTCTTGGGGGCCGCTGGCGTCTTCTTGGGCGATTTGGGAGGCCTCTTGTCCTGGGCCGCTGAGGAGCACACAAGGCGCATGCTGAAAATATACGTTTCCCATAGGATTTGACGATTTGTGCCTCTTTGGCGTGCGCTCGGGGCCCTCTTGGGGCGTCTTTGCGGCCTCTTGGATTGTCGTGGAGCCCCCCCCCCGAAGGCTTCGGGCCGTCGTGGGCTGTCTCCGGACCCACTGAGGCCAGCTTGGAGCGCTCTTGGACGGTCTGGGACCCCTCTGGAGCGCCTCTGGGACCGGCCTGAGCGATTCGGCCCCATGGTGGCGCCGTAAAGAAGCGAGTTTGTGCATTCTGAACCTTTTTGGGGCTGCTCTGGGAGCGTTTTGGGACGTTTGGGGGCATTTTTGGGTGTCACAGGGCGTCCGGGAGGCCTTGGACCGTCTTGGAGCTCTCTTGAGGCTGCCTGAGGCCGTCTTGGGAGCCTCTTGGGGCCCCCTCGGAGCTCTCTTGGGGCCGTCTTGGGGTTCTGTGAGGCCGTTTCAGTGCTCTCTGGCGTCGTCTTGGGGCTCTTGTGGGCCGTCTTGGAGCCCTCTTAGGGGCCGCTTGCGTCTTCTTGGGCGATTTGGGAGGCCTCTTGGCGATTACTGGGCCGCTGAGGAGCACACAAGGCGGGCATGCTGAAAATAAACGTTTTCCCATCGGAATTTGACGATTTGTGCCTCTTTGGCGTGCGCTCAGGGCCCTCTTGGGGCGTCTTTGCGGCCTCTTGGATCGTCGTGGAGCCCCCCCCGGAAGGCTTCGGGCCCTCGTGGGCCGTCTCGGGACCCACTGGAGCGCTCTTGGACGGTCTGGCAACCCCTCTGGAGCGCCTCTGGGACCGACCTGAGCGATTCGGCCCCGTGGTGGCACACGAGGTGACTTTGTGCACACGAGGCCCTGTGAACCCTTCTCGCACGCAGATCCACTGGCCATTGCAGGAGAGACTAGGCCTGACACGTGGGCTCCGTCCGCAAAATCTGCACGAACTAGGCCTGACCCGTGGACTCCGTCCACAAAATCTACACGAACTGGCATGTGATAGTGCGCGTGCTGCCGGGGCTCGACCATCGCATTCGGCGCGTGCTACTGCGCGCTGCTCCTTACTGCCGCTGTTGCAAGCTGCTGGTAAAGTTTGCCGCTGCTGCGTTTCGTTGTTGCTGGTTGCTGCAGGGTGCTGCTGATGACCACGTCTGCTTGGTGCGTGCTGCTGACCGCTACCTGCTGCTGTGGCTTGATGCTGCTGCGTGCTGCCGCTACTGCTGCCCGCATCGTGTTTCGTGCTGCTGCCGTTCGGGCAATGGGAGCGTTTTAGGCAGCGGATGTGGACGCGTCTCCCTGTTCAGAGGCCCACGATCTTCGCGACGTAGCAGGCCCAGCATTTGGACCAGTCAAGGGGGAGCCGACTGGGGGCACGACACGGGCCCGTTCGCGTCCAGACTGCGGGAACGTCTCGGCGAAACGTCCGTTCCCAGCTGTGGACGCTTCTCTTTCCTCGACGGCGAGCGGGGGGGGGAAGTGAGAAAAGGCGGGCCTTCTCAGAAGGCTCGGAAGTCCCCGGCCCTTCTGAGAAGCTCTCGATCCCGAGCCTTTCCCGAAGACGCAGAAGACCTCTCAAAGGCGCGAGGGCTTCCGAGAAGTCCCGCCGCCTTCCGAGGAGGAGGAGGAGGAGGAGGAGGAGGAGGAGGAGGAGGAGGAGGAGGAGGAGGAGGAGCCTTCCCCCCCTCGCTCGCCGCCGCTCTCTCCAGAGCCCCCAGGACCGCCGCGACGCAGCAGGCAGGGCGCCCGGACCGCTCACGGGAGGGAGCAGCCCGCCAGAGAGGGGGGACGACAGGGGGCCCCGGGCGCGCCCCGGTGGGCGGGGCCTCCGGGGCAGCAGGGGCCCTGCCGGGGCTCGAGGGAGGAACGAGCGCGAGGGAGGAACGAGGAGGAGGAGGAGGAGGAGGAGGAGGAGAGGAGGAGGAGAGGAGGAGGAGAAACGAGGAGGAGAGGAGGAGAGAACGAGGAGGAGGAGGAGGAGGAGGAGGAGAAGGAGGAGAGGGAACAGGAACAGGACCTGGGCGTCTCTCTCTCTTCGGAGCCTCGTGCTGGCCGCGACGTGCAGCAGGCACGGCACGCCCTGGCCTCCCCGAGAAGGAGAGCCGCAGGGGGGCCCAGTCGCGCCCGGGTTCTTGGGACTTCGCGGTGAGGACGGCCGTCCTCCTCCTCCTCCTCCTCCTCCTCCTCCTCCTACTCCTTCTTCTTCTTCTTATTCTTTTTCTTCTTCTTCTTATTCTTATTATTATTCTTCTTACTCTTCTTATTCGTATTCTTCTTCTTATTCTTCTTCTTCGTCTTCTTCTTCTTCTTATTATTATTATTATTCTTCTTCTTATTATTCTTATTATTCTTCTTATTATTATTCTTCTTATTATTATTCTTATTATTATTATTATTATTATTATTATTATTATTATTATTCTTATTTTTCTTCTTAGTGTTCTTCTTATTATTCTTATTCTTCTTCTTAGTCTTCTTCTTATTATTATTATTATTCTTCTTCTTATTATTATTATTCTTATTCTTCTTATTATTATTATTATTATTATTCTTCTTATTATTATTCTTCTTCTTCTTATTATTATTCTTCTTCTTCTTATTATTATTATTATTCTCCTCCTCCTCCTCCTCCTCCTCCTCCTCCTCCTCCTCCTCCTCCTCCTCCTCCTCCTCATGATCAACGCGACGCAGCATGCACAGATCACTGGCGCTTCGACTTGCGAATGCTCAGACTCTCACAGGGAGAAAGTGCCAGAGCCTGAGGTGCACATCCAGGGATCTCCGCGCCGAACGGCTCGGCTCCCCTGGGGCCCCTCCCAGGTTCCCAGGCCCCCCCGGTCCAATTTGGGCGTCCCTGGGGCCTCTGCGTGCTATTTTTGGGGGTGGGGGGGGGGGCGATCAGGGGGGCGCATGGGGGCCATCTTCTAGCGGTCTGGGGCCAGCTAGGGCCGTCGGATGCGATTGAGGCCTCTGGCCACCAGAACCTGGAGCGTTGATCACGCCATGCAGTGTAGAAGACTTCGGGCTCCAGCTTCGCCTCCCACATCTTGCTGAGCAGCGCCAGAGCCCGCTGCCACTGTCTTCCCTTCTCGCACGCGCTGATCCCCGCGCTGCAGCTCACGCCGTCGAGCTCCAGCTTCTCCTCCCACATCTCGCCGAGCAGCGCCAGAGCCCGCTGCCACTGCCCGCCCTTCCCGCACGCGCTGATCCCGGCGCTGTAGCTAACTATAGTGCTGACCCGTGGCCTACGGCCACGACACGTTCTAAGAAATTGCGTGCGGGGTCGGGGCGGCGAAGGTGCCGAAAGGCTCTCAGGACGACGCCCGGCGTCGCCTACAGCTTGAGCTCATTGCTGGTCGTTGGGAACGCCGTCCCTCGCCTCTCGTCCGCTCCCCTTTGTTCTTGAAGCCATGGAGGGCATCCTGGGGGCCGTTTGGGTGGTTTTGGGGGGCTTCTTTTCGGTTTCCTGGTGGCCTCTTGGAGCCCTCTTGGGCCGTCTTGGGTGTTTCTGGGGCCGTCTTGGAGCAGTTTGGGGCCGTCTTGGCTGCCTCTTGGGCCGTCTTGGGGCCGTTTGGGGTAGTTTTGGGTCCCTCTTGGGCCGTCTTGGGGCGGTCCTGGGCCCTGGGCCGTCTGGGGTCGCTCTCGAGGCTGTTTTGGGTACCTTTTGGGCCGTCTTGGGCGCCTGTTGGGCCGTCGTGGAACCGTCTCGCGCCGTCTTGGGGTCGTTTTGGGGGGCCTGCTGAGCCGTCGTGGAGCGATCTGGCTGAGTCTGAGAGCCGCCTGGGCCGTTCTTGACCCAACATGGCGAGAGCGCGAAAATCCTTCCAACCCCATGGGAAATTCACGATTTTGGACGCCTGGGGCCGTCAGCGAGACGGTCCTGGGCCATTTGAGAAGCCGCGGGGCCTGTTGTCGGACCCTCTCGGGCCGCCCTGGGTTCGCCGGGGGGTCCGCGGAGGACGTCGGAGCGGCCTCTGGGACGTCTCCGAGAGGTCTTGGGGCCGTCGTGGCACACTCTTGAGCGTCTCGGGCAACGGGGGCCTTCGGAGCGCCGTGGTGAGCGGCTCGGATCCGCCGTGAACCACTCGGTGCACAGGCACAGACCCTTCTCGCGCGCGCTCGTCCCAGCACTGTAAAGATGACCAGGGCTGCCCCGTGGACCCCGCCCACGTCAATCAGCATGTCAAGTGCTCGTTTGCTGCTGCTTGTTGCTTCAGACTGCTTGCTGGTAGTGCTGCTTGCGAACACGTTGCCTGATGATGCTGGCATGTTGCTTACTTGCTGGTTGCTGACTTGCTGGTTTGCTGGTTTGCTTGCTGTTTGCTGGTTTGCTTGCGTGCTTGCTGCATGCTTGCTTATTCGCTTGTGCTGCTGTTGCTGCTGCTGTTTGCTGCTGCTGCTGCTGCTGCTGCTGCTGCTGCTGCTTGCTGCTGCTGCGCACTGAAGAGAAGAAAGGGAAAGCGGACAAGAAGCGAGCAAGGGAAGAGCAAGCGGACAAGAAGCGAAGGGGCGAGGAAAAAGTCAAGCGTCCACAGACAAGGCGCGAGGAAGAGAAAGAAACTGCGCCCATCCAGGAGGTTTGGGTCGGCACCCGGGTGAAGGCCAAAGACCACCCGGGCGCCCGCGACAGGGCGCACCTCCCCAAAAAAACGGCGACAGGCAGAGGCAAGGAGCGCGGCGACGAGAAAAAAAAGGGGGGGGGCAGAAGGAGAGGGACAGGAGGCCGGCGAGGCGGGGGCGCGGCAGCGGGGCGCGCGCCACCAGAGCCCACCGTTAGGCGCGCGCGCGCGCGCCCCCGTCAGAGACACTGAGAGGGAGCGACAAGACTAACTAATCGCAACTAGTGGGGTCTGCATCAGGGGCCACGCCGCACCGCGACGCGCCCGGGAAATCAAGCACTCTGCTTGCCCCTCCTGCGCCGGGCAGCCTTCGCGAACCCGCGCGCCCATAGAAAAAAACCCTCGGGCCGGCACAGCACGACTCGCGCAAGGGCCACCAGAGAAGAGGAGACGCCACGCAAGACCTGGCTATCTCCGACGCGGCGGCGACTGGAGGCGGCCGCCGCTGAAAGGGCCCGAGGGGTCACCCTAAAATGGGGCGGAGGAGGAGGAGGAGGAGGAGGAGGAGGAGGAGGAGGTCGAGCCAACAGCTGGGCCAACAGCTGGGCCTCACGCCCCCGACGCCGCGGCAATCACGACGGCGGCCGCGGCTGTCTGCGCGCGGGCGGGCAGCTCGCGGAGCAGGCTCTGCCACTGCGCCCGGGCACCGCTGACCGCGCAACCTCCGCGGATCCACTCGCGGCCTGCTGCGCCGAGCCGGCCACCCGACTCAATGGCCAGAAGGGCGAGATTTGCGACGGGGCACCGCTGACGCCCGCGGTCCTCCGCGTGCCCGGCAACGACGCCATCCCGGCGCAGGCGCGCGGCTAATTGTTCAGCGTCGGTCGCGCGGATGTCCGCAAACGCGACATCGACCAAAAACTCCACTCCGCACACCGCGGCCACCACGTCCAGCCCGGCAGCAAAAATCTCGCCAGTTTGCGCGCCCACCCGGTCGAGCTCGGGTCGCTGCTGCTCCACGGCAACGACTGCCGAGCAGTCCAGCCAGAGACGCCGCGCTAACCGGCGCACAGCCCCATCGCGCCAGTCGAGAACGCGCCCCCCGACCTCGCACTGGGCGGCGCGCCGCCCCGAAGAGTCCAGCGGGGCACCGCGGCAAGGAACCCCGCGACGGCGTCGCCCGGCGCTGGCACTGCGGCGCAACCCCCACCGGGCGCTGCGGGCTGGCCCGAGGCGCGAGGCTGAGACCCACGAGGGCGCGCACAGCCGCTACAAAATGAGGGTCGGCCACCCGGCCCGTAGTCGACCGCGGAGGCATGAGGAAGGCTGAAGCGCCCGATCGCACGCCAAGGATCTGATCAGCCGGGGCACGCGAAAACAATTCCTGCTGCAATGTAGCCCGGGCGGCGCGCACCCATCTGCGCCAGGCGCCCTCAGCATTGCAGGCTCCGCCGCGCATCCAACTTCGGAAGGGCTCTGCCACGCCGAGGCTCTCAAGGCGCGAGGCTGCCTCTTCTGCGGACGAGCGCATGGGCGGCGCGCGCCTATGCAACTCTTCGACGGTGGCGAAGCCCAGCGCCCGCGTCACACGGCGGCGCGTCTGGCAAGCGCACGCCAAATGGGCTGCCGCCGCACGGAGTCGCGAGCCCCCAGCAGCCAAGCCGCCCATCCCAAATGGCAACTGCGCGCGTCGATGAGGCGCGAGGGCCTCTGCACCGAGCGCGCGCGCCCACCAATCCTCGAGCGCGGCGTCTAAGCCTCGAAGGGCGGCACCATTGACCAGCACCCCGCGCAACACGTGCCGAGGGACAAAAGCCGACCACAAGCGGAGCAAAGCCTGAGCGCACTGCTTCGGCAGCCCGGCTTCCTGTAGCAGCTGCACCTCTCGCAAGGCTGTTTCCATGGCCGTCCGGGTCCGAGCCCATGCAACACCTCCCTCCTCGCCGAGGCCAGCCCACGACGCGCCCAGGTCGTGCCGCTCTGCGGCGTGCCCGAGCACATCACCGGGGAAAGCCCAGCATCCACACCCGGGGCCCAAGCCGCGCGCTTCGGGTCGGCGAGCCACATGCCTGCTCTGTCTGGCGGCCCCCTCCCGCCACACAGCCTCCACTGTGTCCAGGTGCTGCGCCGCGAAAGGCGATGTATGTGTCGTCCGCGTAGCTGCCCATGACGACGTCGATGTGGAGCCCCCGGAGCCTCTCGTAAACGGTGTCCTGCACTGCGCGGAGCCCTCATGGAGAACGGGCAGCCTTGGTCCAACCCAATTCCGGCTTCCACGTCGAACGCGCGGGAGTCTATTGCTTATTTGAGGGTGCTGGGGCCACGGTACAAGAGGGACATGATGTGGGCTAAAGCGGGCGTGTATCGGAGGAGGACTGCCACGATCCAACCACGGGGCATGGTTCCGGATGCATTCTTGATGTCGATGCTCAGAACTGCATTCCCGCCGCCCGAGGTCACCGCGCCCGCAAGAAGCCGCACAAGGCACACGTCGCTGGAAGGCTTCCCAAGGGCGTATTGGGCATGGCCCACAGCATCTGGCAGTTCGTCTTTGCAGGCAGCCAAGAGTCCTCGCAGCGCAATCCGGCGGAACACAATGCAGTGAGTAAGCGGCCGCAGCCCCCCAGCCCCCCGTCCTCCTTGTCCAGAGCAAGGATCCTGCCGCACTTGAAGTCGTCGTACGCGAAGTCGGGCGTTCCCCCCTGCAGCCACAGTTTCATACAAACAGCGGCTGGCTGAACGTGCATATCTGCCGCGGCGGTGCCCCCCAGTGTTCGTACGTACTGCCGTCGGGCCCAGCGCCAAACCCCCGAGGGAGTCGATGAACTAGTTTCACGATGGCTTTCGAGATCTGGCCCTCGAAATCTGGAGTCCAATCGGGGCTCATGTGCTGCACGCCGTCCGCAGCACTCCTGGGAGGGAAGAAGGCGCGCAAATCCAGGATCCGCTCGGGATCCGTGTTGGGCCCATTGGATCGCATTGCAATCTTCAGCGCCTTGCGGAGCTCATCTGCCTCAAGCAAAGCCGGGACCCTGTCCGCCTTCTGCTTGCGGTTCCCACGTTTCCGGCCCCGAAAGACATTCCGAACTCCATCAGCTACAGCCTTGCCCCAAAGCTCCCGCCACGCACCCCGCCAGAGTAGCCGGAGATGTTCGGAGATTGCATCATGACGGTCCCGCGCCGTCCAGCTCTGCGTCGGCGACGCGTTCCTCCATAGCACCAGGCGGTCGAAGATGCTCAAGAGCTGCCAAGCGCGCCGCGTCTGGTGCGTCTGTCGCTCCAGCGGCCGCCCGGAGCACCGCCGCCTCGGCCTCCATGACAGAGTGGTGGATGCCATCCGGGACCTCGGTCATGGTCAGGACAGCGCGTTCACGGGCCTGTCGAAATCCGAAGGTGTCCCAGAAGCGGAGATTTCTCAACACGTTGGCCTCAAACTCCTCGTCGGCATCTTCCTCCCCAGCGTCCTCCTCCACAACAACCCCGTCCCCACCTCCCATGGCCTCGCCGGCGTCCTCAGCCATGTCATCGGCATCTGCAGCAGGAGGGTGTGCCTGTGCTTGCAGGTGGGCCGTGACAATCTGGCGTTGCTCGTCCGTCAGGTCGTGCAAGCCAATAAGATTTGCTCCGTCGAGGGCGCTCAAGTCTTGAACGCAACATTGATGATAGTACCAACTTCTGGTGGATGCCCGCGCCTGCTGCTGCTGTACTGGGGCTCGCATGGGCTGAATCTGGGCCTTCTCGTGCCTTCTTGGGGGCTTCTTGCGGTCCTTTGAGGCCCAGCTGGGCCGTCGTGGGACACAAGGGGGCTGTCGCAAGGGGCGTCGTGGGCAGCCCTGAGACGATCTTGAGCCGCCTTGGGGCCGTGGTTGGGGCCAAGGCCGGGAAATAAGAAGCGCATGCGCTTCTCGGTTTCCAGCGATGCTCCATCGCGGCTGAGGCCGTCCGACGAGGTCGGAGGAGGCACGCGGGCGGCGCAGGCGCGGAAGAAGGCACGCGGGCACTGCGGAGCAGGCTCGGCGGGTGGCCGGCGGGTGCAGAGCACTCTCAGGGAGAACTCCCCGACGGGTCGCCCCTGCAGTTATGTCGGGCGTGTCCCCCTGCAGGGGGATTTTCAACGAAAAATAAAAAGATGCCCCAAAAAATACACCAAAAAGGTCCAAAAATACTCCAAAAATAATCCCCAGGCTATTTTTGGATTATGCTTTGAGCATTTGGGGGGTATGTCTTATTTTTCGACAATCCCCCTGTAGGGGGACAGGCCCAACTTCACCATGCAGACTGGAGCCGGTACAAGAAGGCAGGAAAATAGGAAGCATATGGATGCCAATATGTTCGTGGGTGGCTGGCGAAGTCCCAGAGCCCTCTAAGGGATCTTCCCTCAGAAGCCTCCTGGAGATGGGTTTGGTTCTGGGGGCCTCTCTGGGCCATCTCGGGGCCTGGCTTGAATCTCTCGGGAGCCTCCTGGGGCTTCCGGGGGGCCTCTTTGGGGGGCGATATTTGCCGACTTGAGCGCCCGTCTTTCCAGACGCATTGCCCCCCGCCTTGAAATGAATAGGCTAGGGCTGAACCGTGGACTGCCGTCCACGAAATTCTGCTCGCATGCGAGGGTGAGGATTGCTTGCCTGTTTGACTGCTTGCATGCTGTCCAGCTCGTGGTTGCTACTTTTGTGTTATGGTGGCCTGCCAGATTATCACACTATCGCCTGCTGTCTCTCCTGCGTGTTTCATTGTTTGCTCGTCTGTTCGCTGCAATTTCATACTCCTTTCTGATGGGTGGCGTGGCTTGCTGATTTCTGCCGCTGCGGAATCGTGTCTGCTGGTGTATGTATGCTGCTTGATGCTAGTTGATGCTGCGCGACTGCTGTTTGTGTGCTGCTGCTAGTGCGTGACGCTGCCGCTTGCTCTGACCGCCTGTGACGCCAGGGTGCGGCCTATTGTCAGTTCTGTTTGATGCGTGCTGAATGCTGTTACTGCGTGCTGCCGCTGCTGATGCTGCTTGGTTCGTGCTGCTCGCTGGTCGCTACCTGCTGCTGCAGGGTGATGCTTCTCGCCACTGCTGCGTGAAACTACAAGACGTCGCTACTTGGTAGATCTGCCTGGGGCTCTCTTAAGGCTGTCTTGGGCAACTCCGAGGTTGCGCGCAGCCCTCCTGCAACAGCATTGTGCCGAAAACTTCGATCAAGAAGAACAGCTCATCGCACTGGGGCATCTCCTGGCTACTCTGTCGGCCAGCGGTGCGACTCGCATGGCCTGGGCTGCCTTGGTGCCCTCTTGGGGGCCTCTGGGGCCGCGAGCTCTGGGGGCGTCGGGACTGCCCCGGCACCCACCAGGGCCGTGGCCTGCGGAACTCGCTCGTGGCAGGGGCCCTTGCCGCACGCGCGGCCCCCGGAACAGCAGCGATGGCGCCGGAGGCCCTGGAGAGCTCGCAGAGACCACCCCTGCTGCCACCGATGCAGAGGGCATCGCGCCCCGCGCTCCCCGGCTCGGCCCGGGGAAGAATCGGCCCCCTGGGCCAACGCGAGTGGCTGCAGTCCACCCGCAGCACAAGGACGCACGAGATAAGCATGCAAAGGGCCTCGGAAGGCCTCGCCTCGAGGCTTTTTTTTTTCGAGCGGGGCGCGGCCTGCGGAGGTGGCCAGGCATGGGCCGCAGGGGCGAAGACGCCAAGGGTACGCTTGGGAAGGCTGCCCATCCTTACTGCCGAGCATTTTCTTAGGGTGGAGGGCTCAGGGTGAAATCCACATGGGCCTTCGCACCTCGGAAATTCATCCGTCTCGTGATTCACCGCTCGCAGAGTCGGGACTCGATAACCCATCGAAACGGCACTTCAGACTTCACCCTCTGCCCTCCACCCAGAGACAGTGCTCGGGTTACTGTGCGGGTCGACAGGTCGACCGTATCTCGCTCGGGAGCGGCCAAGAGGGGGGTGTCCAAGAGGGGGGGGTGCAAATCATGACCGGCGGCCTGTGCGCGGCCCAGCGGGGGGGCCTGGGACGCGATAAAATATAAGAAGAGGCGCCATGAAATCTTAGGAAAAATCATGGCCCGCGCCACGAAATCCACCCCCCCCTAGTCATCCCGACTCGCACAGTCGGCGTGCGGCACGGCGGAGACGCCGGCAGCACCCCTGGACTTCCAGCGGGTGAAAGATGCCAGCCCCCCCCCCTCCCTCCTCCTCCTCCTCCTCCTCCTCCTCCTCCTCCTCTCCTCCTCCTCCTCCTCCTCCTCCTCCTCCTCCTCCTCCTCCTCCTCCTCCTCCTCCTCCTCCTCCTCCTCCAGGAGAGAAGCATCGCCCTCCTCGGGGCCCGCTGGCACGCTGCGAAGGCGAACAGACACAAATATGCAATGCATGCACGCTTTCCGGAGGGATTGGGGCGACTTGGGCCTTCCGAGGCTGTCTTGGCGGCCCTTTTGGACCTCTTGGGGCATCTTGGGGTCCCTCTTGAGCCGTCGTTCGTCAAGCTAACTAAGGCGGCCGTCTTGGGGTTGTCTTGGGCGCCTCGTCGGACGTCTGTAGGCTTCGCCGAACAGGGGGAGTGGCCAGAGGCCCGCAAGGCTGTTCAAGCTAACCCAGGGGCGCTTTTCGGCCTCCCCGAGCCTCTCGGAGTTAGAAAAATTAGACTTATGCACAGCACCTTCTGGCGCGAGCGCGGTCTCCTGCAGTGCCCCCCCCCCCGACAAAAAAAAAAGCGTTGGGCTCCGATTTCGCCTCCCACATCTCGCTGAGCAGCGCCAAAGCCAGCGGCCACTGTCGTTCTTTCTCGCACGCGCTGATTCCAGCATTGTAGCTGACTAGGGCTGACCCGTGGACTACCGTCCACGAGTGCCAGAGGATTGAGCATGCGCTCTTTGCTGCTTATTGCTTCAGGGAGCGCTGTTTGCTTGATGATCCTGACGGCGTCTGGAACAGCGCTAGCAGCAGCAGCAACAGCAGCAGAAGCAGCAGCAGAAGCAGCAGCAGCAGCAGCAGCAGCAGCAGCAGATCCAGCACCATCGGCACTAGCAGCAGCAACAGCTGCAGCAGCAGCTCAAGCAACAACAAAAGCAACGCGGACCTCCGGGGGCCTCCTGGGGGCCTTCTCGTCCTCGTCCTCCTCGTCTTTGTCCTCGTCCTCGTCCTCGTCCTCGTCCTCGTCCTCGTCGTCGTCGTCGTCGTCGTCGTCGTCGTCGTCGTCGTCGTCGTCGTCGTCGTCGTCGTCGTCGTCGTCGTCGTCGTCGTCGTCGTCGTCGTCGTCGTCGTCGTCGTCGTCGTGGTCGTCGTCGTCGTCGTCGTCGCCGTCGTCGCGGGCGTCGTCGCCGCTGTCGTCGTCGTCAGGGGACAGAGAGGCAGGGGGGGGGGGCAGGGATGGAGGGGCGGCGGGGTCCAGCAGGCGGAGCAGCACGAGGCGGAGGGAGAGCAACGGCAGCAGCAGCAGCAGCAGCAGGGGCAGCAACAGCAGCCGCAGGAACAGGGGGGCGCGAGCAAAGGGCGGGGAGGAGGAAGGCGATGGGGAGCGCGCGTTTGGCATGGACAAAACCGTACCCCACACCTCTTGGGACACGTTCCGTGCGGGAGGGGTCCACGGAAACGGGGCCTGGGATGCCCGCGGGTGGTCCAAGCAGGGTTTTTTCGCATCCCCTCCCAGGCGATGCGTGTCGCGGTCATGCCTGAGAGGTCCTGGAGTGCACCGTGCTGTAGCAGGCTGTTCCCAGCGGGGGCATCGGGGAAGCGGCGGGGGGGCCTCCGATACCCAGGAGGGGGGTCCTCGTGGGGTTCTGTGGGAGCCCCTGGAGAACCTCTGGGAGCCTCTGGAAAGCTCTTGGGGGCGCCTCTGGGGCCTTCTGGGAACCTCTGGAGAGCGCCTGGGGGCCTCTTGGGAGCGCCTCCGGGGCCTTATGGGGGCCTCTCGGGGGCGTCTTGGAGCCTTGCTGGCCGTGGAGGGGCCCAGACGGAGGGGGGGGGGCCTCCCTTGGGGCCGTTTGGGGGGGAGGTGGGCCGTCTTGGGGGCCCCAGGAGCTCGATCGGGGGCCTCTGGGCCGTCTTGGGGGCTCTCTTGCAGGCCCCGGGCAGCATGGGCCCGATTTCGGACGCCCGCGGTGCCGCGGTGGGCATCGTGGGGCGGGCGGGAGGGGCACCACCGGAAACGTCAAAAAACCTGGAGAATATTAATAGTTTTGCGGCCTGGGCCCTCGTGGGTCCCCTGGGAGGGGCCCTCCGAACCCGTCGGGCTCTCTGGGGAGCTTCCGGGAGACTCTCGAAGCCTCCGCGTCGGGGCCCTCATGGGCCGTCCCCGGGCTGTCCCGGGCCGAGACGGCGTCTCCCCACGGGCGGGGCCCCCGGGGCGCCGCCGCAGGTGACCATCGCTCGCCCTTCTCGCACGCGCGAGGATCCAGGCATTGCTGCATATGTTGTGTTCGTCGGCGGCGAAGTGGCCGCAATCCGCGCCAACATAACGTAGGTCCGTGAATATGGACCGAGCGTAAGACAGAGAGGAGGTGGTCGAGGGGAGGAACTGGGCTGGCATTGGAACCCCAAAACACTCGGGTTTTTGCTAATCGCGCCCAGCCTGGGCGCGATTAGCGAAAAAACGCTGATTTTGTTTATGACATCTGTGCTGCAGTGCGAAATGTATCGTTTTCGACACCGCCGCCGTCGTCGTCGCCGTGGTCGTCGTCCTCGATTTCGCCGTGAGAAGGCGTCCCCCTCCTGCCGCTTCTTGACTCGCTTGGCTTAAAGGGGCCGGGCAGTGCAAACCGCCCCAGGCGGTTCCCCCAGTCCCCTGGGAGCCAAGCAAAAGCAACAGCAAAGGTAAAAACAAACGCGCGGTTTCCCCACTTGCGCTCCCTGGGTGCCAAGCAAAAGCAAAAGCAAAGGCAAAAGTGAAGGCAAAAGCGAAGGCAAAGCAAACGCATAGCATAGCATAGCATAGCATAGCATAGCATTAGCATAGCATTAGCATAGCATAGCATAGCACAGCATAGCGCAGCAAAGCGTAGCGCAGCATAGCATAGCATAGCATAGCATAGCATAGCATAGCCTAGGCTCCCGTAGCCCAGCATAGCATAGCATAGCATAGCATAGCATAGCAGAGCAGAGCAGAGCAGAGCAGAGCATAGCACAGCATAGCATAGCATAGTATAGCGCAGCACAGCATCCACTATTACTGCTACAAATACGACGATGAGGAGAAGGAGGAGGACGGCGTTTACCGCTCCTACTAGTGTTGCTTTCCTAGAGGCTCCAACTCCTAGGCAGGGTCGCACTGGGATGTTTTCATGACATCTGCGCTGCAACGCGAAATATGTGGTTTCCGACACCGCCGCCGTCGTCGTCGTCGTCGTCGTCGGCGCGGTCGTCGCCCTCGATGTCGCCGTGAGAAGGCGACCCCCTCCTGGCGCTTCTTGTCGGGATCCGTTGACGGGAGGGTCCAGAGGAGGAGCCACGCTCCGAATTCAGGGGAGGAGCTGGGCTCGCATGGGAACCCCAAAACACTCGGGTTTTTGCTGGTCGCGCCCAGCCTGGGCGCGATCAGCGAAAACGCGTGGTTTTTGTTGTGCCATCTGCGCTGCAGCGCGAAATCAATGGTTTCCGACACCGCCGCCGCCGCCGTCGTCGTCGTCGTCGTCGCTGTGGTCGTCGCCCTCGATCTCCCCGTCAGAGGGCGACCCCCTCCTGGCGCTTCTCTTCGGGAGCCGTGGGCTGGAGGGGTCCAGAGAAGGAGCCGCGCTCCGAAGGGAGCGTCCGTCGGCGGCGAGGCGGACACCGTCCCGCACAAATTTCAACTTAGGTCCGCGCGCAGAGTCCGACGGAGGGGGGGGGGCCGAGGGCGGCCGAGGGGAGGGGCTACACCCTGCGAAATGCTTAAGAAATCATGGATTAAGAAATTCATAATCTCAGAATCTGAATAAAAAACCAGAACTTCTATTAAAATCTTGGGATTTACATTGAAGCATTAAGAATAATCGAGACTCTGGCCGAAAACTTAAGTTTTCTTAAGCATCGCCGAGGGTGTACGCTCCAGAGGCCCCGACTCGAACGTCGTGGTTTCCCCAAAACGCGGCGCCGGAGCGCTTCGACAGCATATCGAGAGTGCTGCTCGCACAGCCGGAGCCAGTCCGTTCCCAACGGCCCCAGGGCTTTCTGCGAGGCCGTGAAGGCAGAACCTGCCAGGAGACTGCGCCCGCAAGTTGTCGCAAGACACGCAAAAGCCTGCAAGGCCATGGGCGGCAGGCATGCGGTGCGAAGCGGGTCCTGCACACGCCCCCGGATCAACGCCGTCAAGTTTCGTATCCTGGAACTGTGTCCCAGGGGCCTGGAGACCGAAGCCGCCCTGTGGAAACCGTAAACGACGACACGCCAGAATGACCGGCCAGGCAGCCGTGAGCTCTCCCCCCTACCGCCGGCTAGCCACGGGGTCCCACCTGCTCGAAGTTGCCCACGACGACCGCGCGGCAAACCATCGCCGTCGCCGCCGTCGTCGGTCTCGTCGTCGTCACATCCGTCGCGGTCGTGGTTGTCGCCAGCGTCGTGGTGGAATTTGTTAGCATGCGGAGGCCGTTTCCGGCCCCGGGGTCCCTGACAAACGGACTCAAGGCGCAACCTGCGCCGGAAAGAATCGACGAGTCGGGCCGAGAGGAGGAAGCAGGTCATCTGCGTCGTCGTCTCCGGCGTCGTCGCGAGCGTCCTCGACGGCAGGCTTGTGCCGTGAGGTGGGCCACGATGTTCGCGGTGGCGAACAGCGAGACGTGCACCAGATCACTGCGATTCCCGCCAGCCGGGAAGGTCCTGGCGTCTGTGGTGCCAGTTGGGCCGTCTCGGAGTCGTCTGGGGCCGTCTCGGGAGCGTGGGCGCCTTCGGGAGCCTCCTCTTGGTTGTGCTGTCTGGCCTCGTGAGGATGCCTGGGCCGTCCTGAGTGCTCCTTGGGCCGTTTTCGGACCCTGTGGGCCCGGGGTGGATTTTTGAAGGGTCGTCGGAGTCGATCTGGGGGTCGGCCGTCTTCTGACCCTGTGGGGCCGTCTGTGGCTGTCTTGGGGCCGTCTTGGGCCGTTTTGGGCGGCTCTTGGGGCTGTCTTGGGTGCCTCTGGGCCGCCGTGAGGTCCTGTGGGGCTGTCTTGGGCAGTCTTGAGCCGTCTTGGGGCCATCTTGGGCGGTCTTGGGTGGTTCTTGGGCCTATCTTGGATGCCTCATGGGCCGTCTTGGGCGCCTGTTGGGCCGTCCGGGGGTCGTCTTGGGCCGTCTTGGGACCCTCACGGAGGCATCTTGGACTGATCCTGGGAGCCCGCAGGAGTGTCTTGGACGCAGTCGCAACGAAAAGCACGAGAATGTAAAAAATACGCGTTTTCCCCTGGGAATGGGCCGTATTTGGCCTCTGGGACCTCTCCCGGAGGTCCTCCAGAGGTGTCTTGAGAGCGTCCTGGCCTGCCCTGGAGGCCTCTGGGGCTCCCGGGGTGGACTCGGGAGCGCCTCCGAGCCGTCTCTGGGCCGTCGAGGTGGCCTCGGGAGCGTCTCAGAACCGTCGTGGGGCCGCCAGGGCGCCCGCCGACTGCGCCAATCCAGCCAAGACCCTTCCCGCACGCGCGGTCCCCTGCATTGTAGTAGAGACAGCGTGAGGCTCCAGCTTTGCCTTCCACATCTCGCTGAGCAGCGCCAGAGCCCGCTGCCACTGCTCGCACTTCCCGCACGCGCTGATCCCAGCGCTGTAGCTGACTAGGGATGACCCGCGGCCTTCCGGCCGCGGAATCTGCCCGCCATGGCGTGGACGTGGAAGTGGAGCGTCTCGGGGGCCTCGCGGGGGGGGGAGGTTGGAGGGGACGGCATGGATGGAGGATGTGGCCGCTGGAGGGCGAGGTAGGCGAGGGATGCAGGCAGGCAGGCCTGAAGGCAGGAACGCGATGGTGGAGGCGGTATCAATGGACGCACACCCATGCACGACATGATGTAGCTGTTTCTCACGCCGCGCTCTGTGTTCGTAATAGTTTTTGCGGGGCGGGTCGCTGTGATAATTGTATCTGCTCTTCGCCAGGGCCGAATGATAATTTTATCTGGTAGTGCGGTGAGAATGGGACTGGTGGGCGCGGCCTAAGAGGCCCGCAAGAAGGCGCCGAGACGGCCCAAGAAGTCTCCGGGACGGGCCAAGAGGCTTCCAAGACGGCCCAAAAGAGCCCCACGAACTCCCTAAGACGGGCCTCGATGCGAGGACACGAAGCGACCGTTCGAGCGCACCGCCCCCAAACGTCCCCAAAAAGCCTAGAGATGGCTCCCAGAGGGCCAAAAAAGTCCCCAAGACGACGCTGGAAGTTCGACGCTCCTCAACAGAAAGCATTCAAGGCCTCTTGGGGGCCGTTTTTCGTCCTCCTGGGGGTCTCTTGGGGCCCTCTTGGGCCATCTGGAGTGCCTCTTGGGCCGTCTTGGGGCCCTGTCGGGCCGTCTTGAGCGCCTCTGGGGCCATCTTGGGGCCGTCTTGGGGCCACCTTGGGCAGTCATTGGGCGCTCTTCGGGTTGTCCTGGGTGTCTCTTAAGCCGTCTCGGGCGCCTCTGGAGCCATCCCGGGGCACTCGGGCCGTTTGGGCGCCCTCCTCGGGGCGTCTTGGGGCGCTCTTGGGGCCTTGTGTGGGCGTATGGGGGCCCAGGGCTCGGAATGCCAGGGTTTTTCCCTGTTCTTTGGCCCCCTCTTGGGCCTGGCTTGGGCCTCTTGGGCCATCTTGGGGCTCACTGGGCCGTCTAGGGACGCGCTTGGAGGCCTGTTGGGCCGCCCTGGGGCGGTCTTGTGGGTCTCTGCGGCCGTCTTGGAGCGTCGGCTAGCCGAGAAGGCGAGAAGGCAAAACTCCTTCAAACACCATTGAAAAACTAAAGATGTTGGCCTCTGGGGGCATGCTTCGGAGGACTGTGGGAGGCTCTTGGAGGCCTCTTGGGCCTTGTTGGGGGCCTCTTGGGCGCTCCTTGGAGCCTCTTATGGCCACTTCGGCGCGTCTTTGGGCGGAGGGCTCGATCTGTGACGCTCGGGGGCCAGGATCTCCGTGAGGGGTGCCGAAAAAATGGGATGCCTTGGGCGCGTCCTGGGAGCCTTGTGCGGCCGCCTGGGGGCCGTGTTGGGCGCCTCTTGGGCTCTCTTGACGCCTTCTCGGGCCGGTTTTCGTGCGTTTTGGGGGCCTCTTGGGCCGTCTTGAGGCGGTCGTGGGGACCTTGAACCAGCTTCTGCGCCATATTCTCGACAAGCAGCGCATGCTAAAATTGTGCGCTTTTCTTCGGGAAAACATGATTTTCGCCTCTTGGGGCCATCCTTGGACGCCTCTTGGGCGTCTCTGGGGCCGTCGTGGAGGCCTCCTGCGCCGTCTTGGGTTTGTATTCGGCGGTCTCGGGCTCTCTTGGAGCGCTCTTGGGCCGTCTCGGGGGTGTCTGGGGCCGTCCTGGGCGCGTCCTGGGAGCCTCTTGGGGCCGCCTGGGGGCCGTGTTGGGCGCCTCTTGGGCTCTCTTGACGCCCTCTCGGGCCGGATTTCGTGCCTCTGGGGGGCCTCTTGGGCCGTCTTGGGGCGGTCGTGGGGACCTCTCGCCCCATCTTGTGCGCCATATTCCCGACAAGCAGCGCATGCTAAAATTGAACGTCTTTCTTCGGGAAAACAATGATTTTCGCCTCTTGGGGCCATCCTGGGACGCCTCTTGGGCGTCTCTGGGGCCGTCGTGGAGGCCTCCTGGGTCGTCTTGGGTTTGTTTTCAACGGTCTTGGGCTCTCTTGGAGCGCTCTTGGGCCGTCTTGGGGGTATGTGGGGCCGTCCTGGGCGCCTCCTGGGAGCCTCTTGGTGTCGCCCTGGGGCTGTTTTCTTGAAGCCCTCTCGGGCCGGTTTTCGTGCGTTTTGGGTGCCTCTTGGGCCGTCTTGGGGCGGTCGTGGGGACCTTGAACCAGCTTCTGCGCCATATTCTCGACAAGCAGCGCATGCTAAAATTGAGCGTTTTTCTTCGGGTAAACATGATTTTCGCCTCTTGGGGCCATCCTTGGACGCCTCTTGGGCGTCTCTGGGGCCGTCGTGGAGGCCTCCTAGGCCGCCTTGGGTTTGTTTTTGGCGGTCTTGGGCTCTCTTGGAGCGCTCTTGGGCCGTCTCGGGGGTGTGTGGGGCCGTCCGTCCTGGGCGCCTCCTGGGAGCCTCTTGGTGTCGCCCTGGGGCTGTTTTCTTGACGCCCACTCGGGCCGGTTTTCGTGCGTTTTGGAAGCCTCTTGGGCCGTCTTGGGGCGGTCGTGGGGACCTTGAACCAGCTTCTGCGCCATATTCCCGACAAGCAGCGCATGCTAAAATTGAGCGCTTTTCTTCGGGAAAACAATGATTTTCACTTCTGGGGGCCATCCTTGGACGCCTCTTGGGCGTCTTTGGGGCCGTCGTGGAGGCCTCCTGCGCCGTCTTGGGTTTGTATTCGGCGGTCTCGGGCTCTCTTGGAGCGCTCTTGGGCCGTCTCGGGGGTGTCTGGGGCCGTCCTGGGCGCCTCATGGGAGCCTCTTGGGGCCGCCTGGGGGCCGTGTTGGGCGCCTCTTGGGCCTCTTGACGCCCTCTCGGGCCGGATTTCGTGCCTCTGGGGGGCCTCTTGGGCCGTCTTGGGGCGGTCGTGGGGACCTCTCGCCCCATCTTGTGCGCCATATTCCCGACAAGCAGTGTATGCTAAAATTGAACGTTTTTCGTTGGAAAAACAATGATTTGGGCCTGTGGGGGCCATCCTGGGACGCCTCTTGGGCGTCTCTGGGGCCGTCGTGGAGGCCTCCTGGGCCTTGTCGGGGCCGTTTTCGGCGGTCTTGAGCTCTCTTGGAACGCTCTTGGGCCGTTTTGGGGGTGTCTGGGGCCGTCCTGGGCGCCTCTTGGGCCGCGTGAGCGCCTCTGGGGCGTCCCCGGAGCCGTTGTGGGGTATTTTCGGTCGATCAAGACAGGGACCCTTCCCGCACGCACGGGTCCCTGCATTGTAGAGAAGACTATGGCTGACCCGTGGACTACCGTCCACGAGATCGCACTCGGATGCAAAAATGAGGATTGCAGCGCATGCGCGTTGTACAGCTCATTATCTAAGAGAGCACCGTTGATCGCTACATGGCACGGCAAATATAGCGAATCATGGCACAACAAAACATCTGAGACGACAAACCTCTTCGCGACAAAGCACTGTGGAGGGAGCGCGCTAGGACGCTCTCGACACGCTCCGACTGACGGCGGAGTTCGAGTGGGCCGGTCCAGACGGGCAGTCGATCGGACCTTCGACATGATGGCAAGTTGCAGAATCTGGTCGGACCCAACCAAGGCCAACCATGACGGCAACGCTGAACCGTTAAAGCGAAGACTTCGCATATAAATTTGCCCAGCTAAATGAATGAAGAGATGCCGCTCAGCTACCAAGATACCGCTCAGCTACCGAGTCGCCAAGCAACAGCACGTGCATGGCACGCTCGCTCTTATCGCACGCGCCGAGTCCAGTTGCGTAGCTGATAAGGTTTTCTTGTAAGTGAAACTCAGGGGGGTAGCACATGGCACAATCATTATTAGGGCCGTCTTGGGCTGTCAAAACGAGGAGGCCCGAAACATTTCAAATACAAGGTGTTCGATGCGTGTGGCCGCCTTGGGGCTGAACGAACGGGGAGGCCGTCTTAGGCCTCTTCTGGGCCGAATTGGAGGCACCTTGGAGCCACCCAGGGCTGACCTGAAGCGCTTTGAAGCTCTTTGGCCACTGTGGGCTGGCCGGCACTGGCTTGGGGGCTCCGCCGGTGACCCTGTTGGGTCGTCTCGGGGCCGTCTCAAGGCAATCTGGGGCTATTCTGGACGCTGCTTGGGCTCTCTGAATCCCTCCTGGTGCCGACTCGCCGGCCTCCTTGGACCCATCATTGGGAGCCTCTCGGTGGGCTCTGGCCCAGACGTCCCAGCCCCATAGCACCCTGCTCTAGCACGCACTGCGTCAGAACATGGATGCGGTCGGGCTTCAGTGTCGCCTCCCTCACCTCGCTCAGGGCCATCTTGGGCCGTCTTGGCGTCCCCTCGGGGCCGTCTTGGGCAAACTCAGACCTCCCCTGGGTCATCGTCCGGGCCTCCGGGGGCCCTTTGGGGCATTCCTAGGGCCGACTTTGGGGCTTCCTGCGTCATTCTGGGGCGCGCTTGTGCCGTCTTGGAATCTGTCTGGGGCAGTCTGGCTCTTGGACAACTTCGAAGCCGCGCGAAACCCACCCGAAGCAATTTATCTGGGGCCTCTCTTAGCGCCTCTGTGGCCCTCTCTTGGCCTGCCATGCACCCTGCACCGCCTCTTAGGGTCTCTGCGACCGTGTTCAGCCCGTCTGGGGATCTCTGAAGCCGTTTCTGAGGCCTTCTTGGGGCGCTCGGGGCCAATGTGGGAGGGTCTGGCCCCGCTGGCCTGTTTGCCGAGCTGCCACAGTGCGCCTTTCTCGCACGCACTGGTTCCGGCATTGTAGGAGAGATGGCGTCGGGTTTCAAAATCGTATCCCACATCTCACTGAGCAGCGCCAGAGTCCGCTGCCACTGTTCGCCCTTCCCGCACGCACTGATCCCGGCATTGCAGCTGACAGTGTCGAGCTCCAGCTTTGCCTCCCACATCTCGCTGAGCAGCGCCAGAGCCCGCTGCCACTGCTCGCCCTTCTCGCACGCACTGATCCCAGCGCTGTAGCTGACCGTGCTGGGCTCCAGTTTCGCCTCCCACATCTCGCGGAGAAGCGCCAGAGCCCGCTGCCACTGCTCGCCCTTCTCGCACGCGCTAATCCCAGCGCTGTAGCTGAACTAGTGTGAACCCGTGGAAAATCCACGGCCCGCAGGTCCAGGCATTGGTCCCGAACGCGCACGTGTCGGAAGCACTGGAAGCGTCAAAAGTAATGTGTTTTTGCTAATCGCGCGAGGCCTGGGCGCGATTAGCAGAAACACATAAGTTTTCAGACGCAATCAGAGTAAGGGGGCCCGAACGATCTTACAGAGTCCCTGTGCGCGAGAAGTTCGATGTGGGGGGTGGACGCGTGGGGGCCAGAGTTGGGCGCTTTGTTGGGGGGCCTCGTTTGAGGGCCACGTTGGGGGGTCTCGTCAGGGTGTCATGGTTGGGGCCAACGTTCGCAGCCCTGCGGGGGGCCATGTTTGAGGGCCGCGTGCGGGGTTCGGGGGCACATGTGACGGTCGCGTTTGAGGGTGTGGGATTCGGGGGCAGATGTGACGGTCACGTTTGAGGGCAATGGTTGGGGGCTGTGTGTGTTGGGGCCACGTTTGGGGGCGCCTGGGGACTACGCGTGGGGTTGACGTTCGGGGGCCACGCTTACTGGGGCGGTAGGGGCGACCTTCGGAGGCTTTGTTGTGGGGGCTGCCTTTGGGGGTCCCGTTTGGAGGCCGCGCGTGGGGCCGACGTGTAAGGGGCCACGTCCAGGGGCGATCTCAGAAAGCAGTCGGGGAGCCCCGGGGGCACTGACCTGGAAGCGTGAAAAGGAATGGGTTTTTGCTAATCGCGCTGGGACTGGGCGCGATCAGCAAACTCACGGGTTTTCAGGCACCGTCAGAGTGAAGGGGCCACGTTAGCGGGCCCGCGCAGGGTGGTCCTGGGGCCATCTCGGGGTTCTCGGGCCGTCGAGATGGCCGTCTCGAGAGCTCTGGCAGATCGAAGCCAGCAGAACCGAGAGAGCAGCGGTGAGGCCCCCGATACAGCCAAGGGTGCGGGTGCTGGTATACGTAGGGCCCCCGAACTGGCTGTAGTGGCCTGCGGGCAATGTCGCTGCGGGCCTGGGTAATGGGTAAGAGATCTCGTGGATGTTGGTTGGGATCTCATGGCTGGCCTCTCGGGAGCCTCTGGGAGACAGTTTGGGGGCTTCTTGGTAGCAGTTTGGGGGCGTCTTGGGGCCCTCTTTTGGGGCCTCTTGGGGGTCTTTTGGGGCGCTTGGCGGCCTCTGGGGGGCCTCTTGGAGCCTCTTTGGGGCGTCCTGGGGCCTCCTGGGGATGTCTTGGGAGCGTCCCGGCGTTTCTTTGGGGCGTCTTGGGGCTTCCTGGGGGCCTCTTGGGGTGGAGGCCTAAATTTTTCGGTTCCGGGTCCCTGTCTGGGGCCTCTCTTGGGGCCTTCTTGGGGCCCTCTTGGGCTGTCTTGGGCGACTCCTGGGCCGTCTTGGGGCCCTCTTGGGCCGTCTTGGGGCCGTCTTGAAGGCCTCTTGGGCCGTCTCGGAACGGTCTGGGGGGCCTCTTGGGCGGTCTTGGAGCGTCGGAAAGCCGAAAACGCGAGAAGGCCAGAAACATCGGAAAAAAAACAAAGAAAATCAACGATTTTGGCTTCTGCGGCCCCTCTTGGAGGTACACTTCGAGCGCTCTGGGGGCCTCGTGGACGCGTCCCGGGCCGTCTTGAAGGCGTCTTGAAGCCATTTTGAGCGTCTCGGATCCACTCTTGGACCGTCTTGGGCCGTCTTCGGGACCTCCTGAGGCCGTCTTGGGGCGATCTGGGAATCCTGGATCAGTCCGCCAGCGGTCCGGGGGCCTCCCGGGCCCGTCGGGCAGCGGCCCGGAGGCTCTCCGGGCGGCCCGCGAGCTCTCTGGGCGGCCTGCGCACTGCTTGACGCAAGCGCTTCGCCCGGAATTGTAGTACAGCTTCGCCTCCCGCATCTCGCTCAGAGCAGGCCAGCGCCTGCTGCCACTGCTCGCCCTTCTCGCACGCGCTGATCCCAGCGCTGTAGCTGACTAGGGCTGACCCGCGGCCTCCGGCCGCGGAATTTGCCCGCCCTGGCGTGGACGTGGAAGTGGAGCGTCTCTGGGGCCTCGCGGGTAAGGGGAGGTTGGAGGGGACGGCGTGGATGGAGGAGGTGGCCGCTGGAGGGGAAGGTGGGCGAGGGATGCAGGCAAGCAGGCCTGAAGGCAGGAACGCGGTGGTGGAGGCGGTGTCAGTGGAAGCACACCCATGTAGGCATGACATGGTGTGGACAGAAGCTGTTTCTGACGCCGCAGTCTGTGTTCATCATAGCTTCTGCGGGGAAGGTAGCCGTGAGAAGCTTATCTGCTCTTCGCCGGGGCCGAATGATAATTTCATCTGGCAGTGTGGTGACAATGGGGCCAGTGGGCGCGGCCTAGGAGCCCGCAAGAGGGCGGCGAGACGGAACTCCCTGAGAAGGGCCCCAGTGCGAGGACACGAATCGACTTTTCGAGCGCACCTCCCCAAGACGTCCCCAAATAGCGCAGAGATGGCTCCCAGAGGGTCCAAGAAGCCTCCAAAACGATGCTGGAAGTTCGACGCTCCCCAAGAGAGAAGCATCCAAGGCCTCTCGGGGGCCGCTTGGGGGCCTCTTTTCGTCCTCCTGGGGGTGGGTCTCTCGGAGCCCTCTTTGGCAGTCTTGAGTGCATCTTGGGCCGTCTTGGGGCGATGTGGGGCCGTCTTGGGCGCCTCTCGGACCATCTTGGGACCATCTTGGGCCAAATTGGGCGCTACTGGGGCTGTCTTTGGTGTTTCTTGAGCCGTCTCGGGCGCCTCTGGAGCCGTCCCGGACGGCCCAGAGACCGTCTTGGAGACTGTCCAAACGGAAAGGCTTGGAGACGGGGCGGCGGGGGCCTCTACAGCCGTCTTGGAGACGGGGCGGTGGAGCCGTCTTGGGCCATTATTAACTGCTCTTGGGGCTGTCTTGGGTGCGTCTTGGGCCGTCTCGGGCGCCTCTGGAGCCGTCCCGGGGCAGTGTGTGGCCCTTTGGGCGCCCTCATGGGGGCGTCTGGGCGCGTCTTGGGGCGAGCTGGGGGGCCTGTATAGCCTTCTGGACGCTGCGAGGACGAAAAAGCAAGATATATCGAAAATGTGCGTTTCCCGTCGGGAATGGGACGGTTTGGGCCTCTTGGGGCTCTCCTGGAGGCCCTCCTGGGCCGTCTTGGGAGCCTCCTGGCCTGCCTTGGGGGCCTCTGGGGCTGTCGTGGGGCTCCCAAGGGTGCTCTGAGGCCGTCTTGGCGCCCCCTGGAGCCTCTCGGAGCCGTCCCGTTGGCCATTCTTGGCTGCTCTTGGGGCTGTCTTGGGTGCGTCCTGGGCCGTCTCGGGCGCCTCTGGAGCCGTCCCGGGGCCGTGTGGGGCCCTTTGGGGCCCTCTGGGCGCGTCTTGGGGCGAGCTGGGGGGGCCTCTACAGCCGTCTTGGACGCTGCGAGGACGAAAAAACGGAACATAGCGACCCGTCAGGAATGAAACGATTTGGGCCTCTTGGGGCTCTCCTGAAGACCCTCCTGGGCCGTCTTGGGAGCCTCCTGGCCTGCCTTGGGGGCCTCTGGGGCTGCCTTGGGGCTCCCAAGGGTGCTCTGAGGCCGTCTTGGCGCCCCCTGGAGCCTCTCGGAGCCGTCCCGTTGGCCATTCTTGGCGTTCTTGGGGCTGTCTTGAGTGCGTCCTGGGCCGTCGGGGCCGTGTGGGCCCTTTGGGGGCCTCTGGGCGCGTCTTGGGGCGAGGTGGAGGGCCTGTATAGCCGTTTGGGGGCCCTCCTGGGGTGCTCTGGGGGCGCCTTTGGGCGATCGGGGAGGCCTGTATAGCCGTCTTGGACGCGGTGAAGACGAAAAGAGCGAGCATATCAAAAGTGCACGTTTTCCAAAGCGAATTGGTGCCTCTTGGGTCCCTCCTGGGGGTCCTGGCTTGGGGTCCTCTGGAGCCGGCTTGGGCGCCTCTTGGGCCATCTTGGGGCTCCGGACGCGGGTGTATTCGGCCGTCTTGGAGCGTCGGCTAGCCGAGAAGGCGAGAAGGCAAAACTCCGTCAAAAGCCATTGAAAAATTAACGATTTTGGCCTCTGGGGGCATGCTTCGGAGTGCTGTTGGAGGCTCTTGGAGGCCTCTTGGGGGGGTCTTGGGACCTTGTGTGGGGGTAATTATGGGGGCCCAGGGCTCGGAGTGTCCGGGTTTTTCCCCGTGCTTTGGCCCCCTCTTAGGCCTGGCTTGGGGTCCTCTGGGGCCGGCTTGGGCGCCTCTTGGGCCATCTTGGGGCTCCCTGGCCGTCTGGGGACGCGCTTGGAGGCCTGTTGGGCCGTCCTGGGGCGGTCTTGTGGGTGTCTTCGGCCGTCTTGGAGCGTCGGCTAGCCGAGAAGAGAAGGCAAAATTTCATCCAAAACTATGGAGAAAGGAAGGATTTTGGCCTCTGGGGGCATGCTTCGGAGTACTGTTGGAGGCTCTTGGAGGCCTCTTGGGGGGGTCTTGGGGCCTTGTGTGGGCGTATGGGGGCCCAGGGCTCGGAGTGTCAGGGTTGTTCCCCGTTCTTTGGTCCCCTCTTGGGCCTGGTTTGGGGTCCTCCGGGCCGTCTTGGGCGCCTCTTGGGCCATCTTGGGGCTCCCTGGGCCGTCTGGGGACGCGCTTGGAGGCCTGTTGGGCCGTCCTGGGGCGGTCTTGTGGGTGTCTTCGGCCGTCTTGGAGCGTCGGCTAGCCGAGAAGGCGAGAAGGCGAAACACCTGCAAAAACCATTGAACAATTGATGATTTTGGTCTCTGGGGGCATGCTTCGGAGGACTGCTGGAGGCTCTTGGAGGCCTCTAGGGTATTGTTGGTGGCCTCCCTGGGCCTTCTGGGGACGCGCTTGGGGGCCTGTTGGGCCGTCCTGGGGCGGTCTTGTGGGTGTCTCCGGCCGTCGTGGAGCGTCGGCTAGACGAGAAGACGAGAAGGCAAAATTCCATCCAAAACTATGGAGAAAGAAATGATTTTGGCCTCTGGGGGCATGCGTCGGGGTACTGCTGGAGGCTCTTGGCGGCCTCTTGGGGGGGTCTTGGGGCCTTGTGTGGGCGTATGGGGGCCCAGGACTCGGAGTGTCCGGGTTTTTCCCCGTGCTTTGGCCCCCTCTTGGGCCTGGCTTGGGGTCCTCTGGGCCCGTCTCGGGCGCCTCTTGGGCCATCTTGGGGCTCCCTGGGCCGTCTGGGGACGCGCTTGGAGGCCTGGCCGTCCTGGGGCGGTCTTGTGGGTGTCTTCGGCCGTCTTGGAGTGTCGGCTAGCCGAGAAGGTGAGCAGGCAAAATTCAGGATTTGGGCATCTGGAGACATGCTTCGGAGGATTGTTGGAGGCTCTTAGAGGCCTCTAGAGCCTTGGTGGGGTCCTCTAGGGGGCTTCGTGGGCCTTGTTGGGGGCCTCTAGGGGGCCTCTTGGACGCTCCTTGGAGCCTCTGATGGCCACTTCGGCACGTCTTTGGGGGGAGACCTCGATTTGTGACGCTCGGGTGCCAGGATCTGCGTGAGGGGTGTCGAAGAATGGCCCTCCAGGGAGGGCAAAGTGCACGACCTTTTCGCACGCGCTTCCGTCTGCCATTGAGAAGAGACTAGTGCGAACCCGTGGATCAAATCCACGGTGTGCTGAAAGTGGGACTCGCACACGATGGGTGAGCAGCTCTTCAGAGTTGAACAGCTCGGGTGCCTCTGGGGCCATGTCGGGGGCATGGTGGGCCATCCTGCGAGCCTGTCTGGGGGTCTTGGAGGCCTCTTGCGGTATTGCGGGCGCCTCTGGTGCCGTTCCCCGGCTGTCCCCCAGAGCCTCTTCTGGGGGACAGCCCGGGAAGCGTATTGTAGAATGGCGTCCGTGGGGCTCGGAAGGCTCTGTGAGGACTCTCTTGGGGCATTCTTGGAAGGAACTTGGGGGGCTCTGGAGAACCTGAAAATCCTTTGAAAGCTTTGAGGCAAGCTAGCGATTTGGGCCGGGTGGGTCCAGCATCGGGCTCCTCTGGGGCCGTCGTGGGAGGCCTCCTGTCGTGTTTTGCGGCCGTCATCGAACACTTGGAAGCTCGCTCCTGGGGCGTCGCTCACTGGGGAGGGTGATAAAATGCTGGGGAAGAACGGTGCACTTCTCGGGCCCGAAAGGCCCCCTTTGGGGCCCGAAGGGGCTCCTCCTTTAGCTCCTTCGGTGGCCCCAAAGGGCCCCTTTTCTGCAGCCCTCGCTGTCCCCCCCCCCCCCGATGTATCGCCCACCCCATTACGCGACGCCCAAGCTTCGGGTTCTCTGGTGCCTTCCAGGCGCTCCCTGGAGCGTCTCTGAGCCGTCCTTGGCTTGGAGCGTCTCCGGCAGCCGTTCAGGGCCGCCCAGGACCGCCCCAAGAGCGCCCCAGGAGCGCCAGGAGCCGCCCTGGGCCGAGCTACAGTCGGCCCGTATCATAAGGATGTGCGATTAAGGATGCAAGGGCCTTGGACGCCCATTTCGAAGCTTTTCGAGCGGGGTGCGGCCAACCAAAACGGCCCAGGATGGGCCGAGGAGGGAAGGATGCAAGCGTACCCTTGGGAAGGTTGCCCATCCTTACCATGCGGGTCGACTGCACGGCAGCGCAATCTCACACACGCTGACCCCGGCATTGCACGGCCGGACCTAGGACAGCAGGACACCCTCCAAGAACACGAAGACCCTGCTGCTGCTGCTGCTGCTGCTGCTGCTGCTGCTGCTGCTGCTGCTGCTGCTGCTGCTGCCAAACTGAAGAACATTCGAGGGCACCCTCCCCCAAGATGCACGAAGCACATCCAACAAACACGAGGAGCGTCTGGGTACACCCTCCCCGAACCGACCCCGATGTTGTACCTCGGTCCGACCGTAGCTTAGAGACTGGGGCTGACCCGTCGCCCGCCGGCCACGAAATCTGCCCGAGATGGCACCAGGAGACGCGCACCGAGGCGCCATGGAGCGCCCGGAGCGATGCTGCTGGCCCTGCGCAAAGCCTCTGCTCAGCCCTGTCCTCGTGGAGACAAGTCCGGAGCCCATGCGGGCCGCCTCCACTCTGCGTGGGGGCCTCGCGGGGCCGTCCGCAGGGACCTCTGGGGCCGCCACTGGGGGCCTCGTGGCCTGCCTTCCGGCCCCCGGGGCCCTCATCTTGGGGGTCCCCGCGAGTCCTCGGGAGCCGCCTCGCCTCGGCACCCTCTGGAGCGCCTCGGAGCCGTCTCTTGGGGCCGTCTGGGGCCGTCTGGGGACCCTGCAGGGCCGTCGTGCAGCGCCCCGTGGGCTCTGAGGCCGCCCCACCCCAGACCCCCTCGCGCTGTGAAAAGATCACGGCGGAAGGATATTCGCTATTTTGGGCCTCCGGGGACCTTCTGGGGCCTCGGGAGCGTTAAAAAGCGACCCAGGACGAAAAACTGGTCCCCGGGAAGGGGTCCAGGGCTTCTGAGGGGCACGTCATGGAGAAATCACGAAGTTGGGGGTCTGGGGTCTGGGGGGCCGTCGTGCAGCGCCCCGTGGTCTCTGAGGCCGCCCCAGGGGGCCCGGGGACTCAGTCGGTCCCCAGGCCCCTCTCGCGCGCAAGTATGCCTGCAGTGCAGGAGGGATGGCGTTGGGCTCCAACCTCGCTTCCCGCATCTCCCCGAGCAGCGCCAGAGCCAGCTGCCACTGCTCGCCCTTCCCGCAAGCGCTGATCCCAGCGCTGTAGCTGACTAGGTCTGACCCGTGGACTACGTCCACGAAATCTCCACAAACAGACATGTGATTGTGGACATGCTGCCGAGAGGCTGGAATGATTACGCGGGGTTCGATCCTCACATTCCGCGCATGCTACTGCGTGCTGCTGCTTGCTGCCGCTGTTGCCCCGCCGCTGCGTGCTGTTGCTGCTGGTGTCTGCAGGGTGCTGCTGATGGCCAGTTCTGCTTGGTGCGTGCTGCTGCCTGCTGCTGCATGCAGTTGCTTGCTGCTGTGTGTTGCCACTGCCGCCTGCTTCGTGCTGCGCACTGCTGCCGCTCGCTGTTGCTGCTTCATGCTGCAGGGTTCCCTTTCTCGCTACGCTTAAGTCGGGCGTGTCCCCCTACAGGGAGACTTTCGACGAAAAATAAAAGATACTCCACAAATGCTCCAACATGGTCAAAAAAATACTCAAACTATAGTCCCCATGCTAATGTTCACTACTTTTGAATCTATCATATATATATATCCCCTGTAGAGGGACAGGCCCGACTGAACGCTGCGTCAGCTTGCTGGCACAACCCGCTGCCAGGAGAGCAGCGGGGAGCCAGGCCCGAGGAGCTCGAGGAACGAAGGGCGAAGGGGGGGGGGAAGCGAGGAGCGACCAGCGAAGAGCGACGAGCGAGGAGGGAGGAGGGACGACCCAGGACAGAGGAGCGAGGAGGGAGGAGGGAGAGCCGAGGAGGGAGGAGGGACCTCGGAGGGAGGGCCGACGAGGGAGGAGGAGGGAGGAGGGAGAGCCGAGGGGGGGGGAGAGCCGAGGAGGGAGGAGGCGGGAGGGGGGAGGGACCTCTTGGGGGCCTTCCGGGGCCTCGTAAAGGGCTGGGATCTGGGCCGTCTTGGTGCAGTCCCGGGCCGCCTGGGGCCCGTCTGCCTTGAGGCCATCTTGGCGGCCTCTTGGGCCCTCTGGAAGCTCTGTTGGGCCGTCCTGGAACTCCGTTGGGCCGTATTGGGGCCGTCTTGGGGACCCTCGGGGGCCCAACCGTCTGGGGCTGCTTTGGCCGCCCTGAGCGCCCCGAGGCCTGAAGAAGCGAGCATGCGAGAAGAACGTGGAACAAAGCGGATTGAAAGATTTTTGCTCCTGGAGGCCCTGTGAAGGATCCCCTCTGAGCCGACTTAGGAAGCGGACCATCGGGAGGCCCTCTTGGGCCGCCGTGTGGCTTTCTTGCGCTTCCTCGGAACTATCTGGAGCCGTCTTGGAGACCTCTTGGGCGGTCCACCGCTGTTTTTGGAACGTCTTGGGGCCCTCTTGGGCCGTCTTGGAACGCCCGTGGGGCGCCCAAGAACACGCTGGAGCCTGCCAGCCCGACTTTAAATCACCTGATCCTGGAATGTTTCGGGCACCCGGCGCCCCTGGCATTGTAGAGATGACGACGTTGATCAGCTGATCAAATAGATCACGCTAATCAGCGTCAACATCTCGCTGATCAGCGCCGATCAGATCTCGCTGATCAGCGCCAGAGCCCGCTGCCACTGCTCGCCCTTCTCGCACGCGCTGACTCCAGCGGTGTAGCTGATAGAGCATCACGGGGCGCCAGCCATAGACAATATGTTTCCAGAGCCGTGCCGAGCTGGTTGTTTTCGTTAGGCAGGCTCGAACCAAACCTGAACGTTCCTGCCATAGAGAGCACCACCATAAAGCACCATGGCAAGAACAAGAACTCGCAGCTGTTGGTGATCATTCCTGTTAACCCTTCGTGCAAGCACTGCTTCGGAAGAACACCTGATGTGTTCTTGCCTTGCGGAGAAGTGAGAGGACCGTTTGGGCCCCCCTGGAAAAATCTGAGAGGCCTTCAACATGCTGGCGACCCTTGGGGACCGTGCTGAGCTCAGGGACCTACTGGGGCTGTCAGGGGGAGCCCACGAGTGGATCAGCCTAGACCATCGCGGAAGTGCTGCCCCACGGGAACGCGAAATTCGCTGCCTTCGATCACGACATTCTTTACATGCACACGGGTCTGGCGTTATGATACGGATTCCGCTATTCCGCTGCGATCAGACCGCACATCTCCCTTGTCAGCGACTGCACCAGCCTCCTTTGTCCACCATGCTCGCACATGCTGGCTACAATCCCATAGACTAACAAGTCTGGGTGCAGCTTCATCTGGCGGATGTCTCTTAGCAGAGACAGAGCCCTCTGCCACTGCTTGCCTTTCTGGCACGCGCTGATCGCAGCGTTGTAGCTAACTAGGGCAGACCCGTGGACTCCGTCCACGACATCAGCTCGACGTGGCCAGTTGAAGGCGCTCTCCACACCCTCCAGGACCTCCTGCTCTCCTGTGTTCCTCAGCTGCTGCTGCTGCTGCTGCTCGGAGGTCCTGCTGCTTCCTCCCCCTCCTCCTCCTCCTCCTCCGCCTCCTCCTCCTCCTCCTCCTCCTCCTCTTCCACCTTCTTCTCCTCTTTCGCTGGATTCTCCATGCCCTCGGTCGGCAATCGTCGATCCTACGACGACTCTCCCCAACGGAGAAACATCGAAGGTCCTCGGAGCGTCCAACATTGTTCTTTTGTGCCTTCGATATGCCGGTCGCCTCTCGTCCGCTCCCCCCCTCCTGGAAGCAATTCCGAGGCCACGTAGGGCTTCGTGGGGGCCGTTTGGGGATCTCTTGGGGCGTTTTTGCCTGCGATATGCCTGTCGCCTCTCGTCCGCTCCCCCGCCCCTGGAGGGAATTCTGAAGCCACTGAAGGCTTCGTGGGGGCCGTTTCGGAGCCTCTTCGGCCTTCGTTTGGGCCTCCCGGGGGGGGCTCTTAGGGCCGCTCCTGGGGCCGTCTTGGGTGCCTCTTGGGCCGTCTTGGGCGCGTCCTGGGCCGTCCTGGGGCCGTCCTGGGGCGTCTTGGGCCGTCTTGGGCCGCTCCTGGGGTCGTCTTGGGTGCCTCTTGGGCCGTCTTGGGCGCCTCCTGGGCGTCTTGGGACCGTCTGGGGGCCCTCCTGGCCCGTCTTGGGGCTCTCTTGGGGTCCTCTTCGGCCGTCTTGGAGCGGTCGGGGGGGCTTCTTGGGCCGTCTTGGAGCGTCGGGAAGCCGACGAGGCGAGGAGGCCGAAAACATCGAAAAACACAATAGAAATCGACGATTTCTGTCGCTCGGGGCCCTCTTGGGAGGCCTCTTGGGAGGCCTCTTCGGGCGTCTTGGACGCCTCTTGGGCCGCCTGGGGCGGACCTCGGGCGTCTTGGGCCCATCTTTAAGCGTGCCGGGGCTCTCCGGGGCCGTCTTGGGGGCTTCGGGGGGCCCTCTCGACATGTCCTGGGGCCTGCCTGGGCGGCCCGGGGCGGCCCGGGGCCAGCCCGGGGCGGTTTCGGTGCATTGGGGCCTGCGCCCTTCTGGCACGCACTGGGCCCTGCAATGTAGTAGAGACTACAGCTGACCCGTGGACTATATGTCCACGACAGCTTGCCCGCGTGCAGAAGCTGAGATCGCTTGCCTGCCTGCCTGCTCTTTTGCGCGCGTAGCTGGTAGCCAGACAGTTGTCTTCCCGACGTCACTGCCAGCATGCTGGCAGGCCTGGCGGTCGCAACTGACCCTCTGCCGCACGCCACGGCAGCGGGGATGGCCGCCAGCCGGCCGCGGGCAATGCAGCGGCTGCTTGTTTTCTGCTGCTAGCTACTAGTTGCTGCCGCTGCTGGCTTGTGTGCTGCTGGATATGGAGGCCGTGCTAGGGGGCCCTATGGGCCTCGTTGAGCCCTCTTGGGGCCGTCCTGGGCCGTCTCGGGATTCTCTGGGGGTCTGTTGGGCCGTCGTGTCGCTCTCTGGAGGGCGTGTCGGGCCGTCTCGAAGCTCTCCGAAGCCTTCTTCAATATTCTGGGAGCCCTCTGGGGCCGCCCTTGGGCTCTCTTGAGGCAGTCAAAGACCGCCCAGAGGGCCCTAAGACGGCCCGAAGACGACCCGAGACGGCCCAAAGAGGCCCCGTAAACAACCCAGGAGGCTCGATGGGGGTCCCCAGAGCACAAGGTGGCCCGCAAGGAGGCCAAGAGTCTCCCCCGAAGCCGTCTTGGAGCTGTCTCGCGTCGAAAAGCCTGCGAAGGAAAGCTTTGCAGTTGCCGTGGTCTTCTGGACAATTCCTGCAAGGCCTCTTCGGGCGTGGGGCCTTTTGGAGGCCTATTGGAACCGCTTGAGATCTCTCGGGGGCCTTGTCTGGCGGCTGTCGGGGCCAATTCTGGTCATCTCGGACATTACCGAAGGCTGTCTCTGCGACGTCTTGGGGGCCCAGAGCCCACAGGGACCCGGAGGCAGTGTCGACGCCGCTGGAGGCCGAGAAAGCGATTGGCCCACGCACTTGTCACAGAATTGAGGGGATGATGATAGCTTCGGGCTCCAGTTTCAAAGTTTTTGTCGTTGCGGCTCGCTCTCGGGAGCCTCGGGTTGAAGAGCTTACTGTGTCACCGTTCGCTCTTGGGAGCCTTAAATTTAAAAAGCTTTTTACTGTTCCGATCACTATGTTATTTGGCGTCTGTGCGCCTTCTGAGTGGTCCTTGTGGGGGAATTGTTGGAGCCCTTCAGGTGCCCTTTTGGGCCGTTCTGTAGCCGTTTTGGGACGTCTTGGGGCCCGGTTGGCCGTCACGGGGCGTCTTGGAGGCCTTGGACCGTCTTGGGGCTCTCTGGAGGGCTTCCTGGGGCCCTCTTGGGAGCCTCGTCGGGCCCTCTTGGAGCCCTCTTGGGGCCCTCTCAGGCCGGTTGAAGGCCCCCGTGGGCCGTCCTTGGGCCTTCTTGCACCGTCTTGGGGCCCTCTTGGGGGCCACTTGGGTCGTCTTAGGGGGTTTGGGGGGGCATCTTGGCCTGTCCTGGACCGTGTAGCAACGCAAAGGCCGATATGCTGAAAATGCACGTTTTCCCATAGGAATTTGACATTTGTTGCCTCTTTGGCGTCCTCCCGGGGCCCTCTCGGAGCGTCTTGGAGCCACCTTCTGAGGTCTTTGGAGCGCCTTGGAGGCCTTGGACCGTCTTGGGGCTCTGTGGGAGCCTCGTCGGGCCCTCTTGGAGCCCTTTTGGGGCCGTCTTGGGGCCCTCTCAGGCCATTTGAGGGCCCCCTTGGGCCGTCTTTGGGCCATCTTGCACCGTCTTGGGGCTCTCCTGGGGGCGGCTTGGGTCGTCTTGGGGGTTTGGGGAGGCCTCTTGGTCCGTCCTGGACCGCGTAACAGCGCCAAAGGCGGATATGCTGAAAATACACGCTTTCCCGTAAGAATGTGACAATTTTCTCTTTGGCGTGGAGCCACCTTCTGAATTCGAAGGCCTTGGACCGTCTTGGGGCTCTCTGGAGGGCTTCCTGGCGCCCTTTTGGAAGGTTTTTCGGGCCCTCTTGGAGCCCTTTTGGGGCCGTCTTGGGGCCCTCTCAGGCCGTTTGAGGGCCCCCTTGGGCCGTCTTTGGGCCGGCCCTCTTGGACTGTCTTGGGGCCCTCTTGGGGGCCACTTGGGTCGTCTTGGAGGGTTTGGGGGGGACTCTTGGTCTGTCCTGGACCGCGTAGAAACGCAAAAGGCGGATATGTTGAAAATGTACGCTTCCCATAGGAATGTGTCGACTTTTGCCTCTTTGGCGTCCTCTCGGGGCCCTCTCGGAACGTCTTTGGTACCTCTTGGACTGTCTTGCAGCCACCTTCGGAGGTCTTTGGAGCGTCAAGGCCCTTCTCGGCACCTATTGAGGCCGTCTTGGAGCGCTCTTGGACCGTCTTACAACCCCTCTGAGGCGCCTCTTGCGCCGTCGCGGGCGATTCGACCCCGTGGTGGGGCCGTGGAGGGGTGATTTTATCCACTTGAGCGCCGACCCTTCTGGCACGCGCTTCCGCCCACCATGTAGGAGAGACTAGGGCTGACCCGTGGACTCCGTCCACGACATCTTTCTGGAATGGTTCTCGGAGAAACGGCGGAGATGTTGCCGAAAACCTGTAAGCACGGCGGCGGCCGGGGCGCCGGCAGCGAGACCGCGCCTTCGTGTCCGAGCTCTTGCGGCGCTCCAGCAGCTTGGCCCTGGCGCACGACTCCTTCGCCCCCCGCCTATTGAGGGCAGTTTTGAAGTCCCTCGTGGATGTACGCCAAAGTCGAAGCCCATCTGAGGCGTCTCAGGAGCGCCCAAGGATGGGCTCGGGAGGCCCTCGGGGAAAGCAACTGGGACGGGGAGGCACTCTTGGGCAGCCCTGGGGCTCGCTGGGGGTCCGCTCGGGCCGTCGGGGCGCTCTCCCTGAGCCCTCCTGGGGCCGTCTGGGGCTCTCGAGCCTCCGTGGGGAGGCCCTCCGAGGCCGTCGTGGAGCGCCTCGGGGCCGCCCGGGAGCGAGCGGGGCCCGTGGACTCCGTCTACGTCTCGCCAGAACCCTGGAGCCCACCTGGGACCTCGAAGAATTAACCTCGAGCGTGGTGTTTATTTCCCGTCGACGTGGCGGGCCGAGGGATGGTCTTGGGGGACGTTTTCTCGGCCGACCGCGGGACCCTGGAGAATGGCCTCCGAGGTTACGGAGTCTTCTTCGTGGGCGTCATTGATCCACGAACGATCCGTGCGAGACGTTTGTGCCTGGGGAGAACCTTCAGAGTTGGTACTGGCACTCCGTGGACGTGGCGAGCCGACGAACGTCCTGGGCGAAGGTTAATTGCTCCGCCCCTGGGCGTCGGAAAATAAACCTCCAAATCTGGGTTTACTTTCCGTGGATGTGGCCGCGCCCCGGGTCACGCATTGGGAGGGTAGAGGCGGAGCACCGCAGAACGAAACCCAGAACTCCAGAATAAGCGCCAAAGCGCAGGTTGACGAAAGACGTCTCTCCAGAACCCTGGAGCGCACCTGGGACCTCGGAGAATCCGCCGGCCCCCTTGTGGGGCCACCAGGCTGTAGGCGCGTGATTCGCAGTTTCCTGTACCAGTTGTAGTTTCTAGTTTCCAGTGTTACAGTTCTGCTTCTTGCTGGTTACTGTAACTAGTTGACTTCTTGCTGGTTACTGTAACTAGTTGATTGACCGCGCGAGGGGGGGGGAGGCCCAAACAGGATTTTTAGCACCCCCTGGGCGCGTTGTCTGAATTGCTGGGGGGGCTCGAAATCGACACCCCTCACGCAGATCCGCGGGGTCAGGGTCCAAAAACACACGGGATTTGCCACATTTCTGAAATTCGGTGCCACCCCTCACGCAGATCCGCGGGGTCAGGGTCCAAAAACACAGGGATTTGCCACATTTCTGAAATTCGGTGCCACCCCTCACGCAGATCCGCGGGGTCAGGGTCCAAAAACACAGGGATTTGCCACATTTCTGAAATTCGGTGCCACCCCTCACGCAGATCCGCGGGGTCAGGGTCCAAAAACACAGGGATTTGCCACATTTCTGAAATTCGGTGCCACCCCTCACGCAGATCCGCGGGGTCAGGGTCCAAAAACACATGGGATTTGCCACATTTCTGAAATTCGGTGCCACCCCTCACGCAGATCCGCGGGGTCAGGGTCCAAAAACACAGGGATTTGCCACATTTCTGAAATTCGGTGCCACCCCTCACGCAGATCCGCGGGGTCAGGGTCCAAAAACACAGGGATTTGCCACATTTCTGAAATTCGGTGCCACCCCTCACGCAGATCCGCGGGGTCAGGGTCCAAAAACACACGGGATTTGCCACATTTCTGAAATTCGGTGCCACCCCTCACGCAGATCCGCGGGGTCAGGGTCCAAAAACACAGGGGATTTGCCACATTTCTGAAATTCGGTGCCACCCCTCACGCAGATCCGCGGGGTCAGGGTCCAAAAACACATGGGATTTGCCACATTTCTGAAATTCGGTGCCACCCCTCACGCAGATCCGCGGGGTCAGGGTCCAAAAACACAGGGATTTGCCACATTTCTGAAATTCGAACCCATCACGCACATCCATCGCAAGGCGTGGTAACCCAAACTGCGAGAACTCCCTCGGCCCTTTCATCGCAAGGTGTGGTAACCAAGCCCTTAAACCATACACGTCTTACCAATCGCCAGGTGTGGTAACCCCTCTTGTGATCAGTTGGTTTTGCTGATTGCGACTCGGCTTCGCATGAAGTTTCGATACTGCTGCACGACAGCGCCAAGGCCTCATGACTTAGCTCTTCCATGGCCCATTATCCGAGAGAGGGGGCCGGCGGCAGGGGGCAAAGCCCTTACGGATAAACCTCGAGCGTGGTGTTTATTTTCCGTCGACGTGGCGGGCCGAGGAGTGGTCTTGGGACGATGGAGAATGAGAATGGCCTCCGAGGCTACGGAAAATCTTTCGTGGGCGTCGTTGATCCACGAACGATCCGGGCGAGACGTCTGCGCCCCATCTGGAGCCCAGGGGGAAGACTTCGAGGTAGGTACTGGCATTCCGTGGACGTGGCGACTCGACGAACGTCCTGGGCGAGGGCTGATTGCTCCGCCCCAGGGCGTCGGAACACAAACCTCGAAGTCGGGGTTTACTTTCCGTGGATGTGGCCGCGCCCTGGGGCTTCTGGTCCGCCTTGTAAGAACCTCTTGGGGCCCTGTTGGGCCGTCTGGCGGCCTCCTGGGAGCCTCTTGGGGCCCTCTTGGGCCGTCTTGGGTGCCCCTTGGGCCGTCTTGATGCCGTCTGGGACCGTCTTGGGCGGCTCCAGGGCTGTCCTCGGACCGCCTTGGGGCTCTCCTGGGTCGTCTTTGGCGCCGTCTTGGGGCCCTTCCGGGAGCCTCCTGGGCCCTCTTGTGACGATCTTGGGAGACAGTATTGTCGTCTTGGGCGCTTTGAAGGAAGACGAAAAGCATGGGAATTGCCAAAATGAGCGTTTTCCTTAAGGATTTGGATGATTTGTCATCGTTCGGGCTCTCTCGGGGCTCTTCTTGGAGCCCACTTGGAGCAAGTTGGGCGCCTCTTGGGCCGTCTGGAGGCTATCTTGGGCGTCTTCGAGCGCTCTTGGACCACCTCGGAGGCCCTCTTGGACCGTCTTGGGGCGTCTTGGGGTCCTCTCGGGGAGTTCCGATAGGGTCTCGGAGCGCTCTTGGGCCTTCCTGGATGCGCGCCGAGGCCAGCTGGGGCTCGCGGGGCCCGCGGGGCCCGCAGGGGGCGCCGGAGGAATGTGTCCGACCCCCGCCATTCTCGCACGCGCGGGGCCCTGCAATGTAGTAGAGATGACGTCGGGCTCCAGCTTCGCCTCCCGCATCCCGCTGAGCAGCGACAGGGCCTGCTGCCACTGCCGGCCCTTTTCGCATGAGTTGATCCCAGCGCTGTAGCTGATGACGTCGGGCTTCAAAATCGATTCCCACATATCACTGAGCAGCGCCAGAGCCCGCTGCCACAGCTCGCTCTTCTCGCACGCGCTGATCCCAGCGTTATAGCTGATCACGTCGGGCTCCTGCCTCGCCTCCCGCATCTCACTGAGCAATACCAGAGCCCGCTGCCACTGCTCACATTTCTCGCACGCGCTGATCCCAGCGCCGTAGCTGACTAGTGTGAGCCCGTGGAAAATCCACGGCCCGCAGGTCCAGGCATTGGTCCCGAACGCGCACGTGTCGAAAGCACTGGAAGCGTCAAAAGTAATGTGTTTTTGCTAATCGCGCGAGGCCTGGGCGCGATTAGCAGAAACACATAGGTTTTCAGACGCAATCAGAGTAAGGGGGCCCAAACATTCTTACAGAGTCCCTGTGCGCGAGAAGTTCGATGTGGGGGGTGGACGCGTGGGGGCCAGAGTTGGGCGCTACGTTGGGGGGCCTCGTTTGAGGGCCACGTTGGGGGGTCTCGTCAGGGTGTCATGGTTGGGGCCAACGTTCGCGGCCCTGCTGGGGGCCATGTTTGGGGGCCGCGTGCGGGGTTCGGGGGCACATGTGACGGTCGCGTTTGAGGGTGTGGGGTTCGGGGGCAGATGTGACGGTCACGTTTGAGGGCAATGGTTGGGGGCTGTGTGTGTTGGGGCCACGTTTGGGGGCGCCTGGGGGCTACGCGTGGGGTTGACGTTCGGGGGCCACGCTTACTGGGGCGGTAGGGGCGACCTTCGGAGGCTTTGTGTGGGGGCCGCCTTTGGGGGTCCCGTTTGGAGGCCGCGCGTGGGGCCGACGTGTAAGGGGCCACGTCCAGGGGCGATCTCAGAAAGCAGTCGGGGAGCCCCGGGGGCACTGACCTGGAAGCGTGAAAAGGAATGGGTTTTTGCTAATCGCGCTGGGACTGGGCGCGATCAGCAAACTCAAGGGTTTTCAGGCACCGTCAGAGTGAAGGGGCCACGTTAGCGGGCCCGCGCAGGGTGGTCCTGGGGCCATCTCGGGGTTCTCGGGCCGTCGAGATGGCCGTCTCGAGAGCTCTGGCAAATCGAAGCCAGCAGAACCGAGAGAGCAGCGGTGAGGCCCCCGATACAGCCAAGGGTGCGGGTGCTGGTGTACGTAGGGCCCCCGAACTGGCTGTAGTGGCCTGCGGGCAATGTCGCTGCGGGCCTGGGTAATGGGTAAGAGATCTCGTGGATGTTGGTTGGGATCTCATGGCTGGCCTCTCGGGAGCCTCTGGGAGACAGTTTGGGGGCTCCTTGGTAGCAGTTTGGGGGCCTCTTGGGGCCTCTTGGGCCCTCTTTTGGGGCCTCTTGGGGGTCTTTTGGGGCGCTTGGCGGCCTCTGGGGGGCCTCTTGGAGCCTCTTTGGGGCGTCCTGGGGCCTCCTGGGGATGTCTTGGGAGCGTCCCGGCGTTTCTTTGGGGCGTCTTGGGGCTTCCTGGGGGCCTCTTGGGGTGGAGGCCTAAATTTTTCGGTTCCGGGTCCCTGTCTGGGGCCTCTCTTGGGGCCTTCTTGGGGCCCTCTTGGGCTGTCTTGGGCGACTCCTGGGCCGTCTTGG